TCTTGTGGTTCATATTTTTTTTAAAGTATAAACCCATTTCGGCTTACCACTCATTTGGACTGTGTTACTTTTCTACGTGCTTTATGGTGGCATTGAATCTGTCATTTGAGTGTTCATTTTACAATTCCTATCACCTAAAGGCAGCTTAAATACTTTTTGAGCAGTGTCATCAAGTTTATCTCTATAGTTTGCACATTAGTCTACTTGACAGTTGTTGTATGATTTGTATGATTGTATGATTTCCAGAGGACGAAACAAAGTTGTAGTTGGAGCTTGACTTAAAGGCTGCTCGAATTAAAAGACCGGCAAGCAAAAAATGAGGTCAAACAACCAATGAATTCTGTTTCACTAGCAAATAAATAAGCATATGCAATTAGGTCATCAAGTGTTTTAGGTTACTGATATTTAAGCGAATATGCAGTCAAGCAAATATACTCCTTGGTACAGAAATGGAGACAAATATATATGGAAAAGATAAACTAATGATTACGAAGTGAAATAACTCTGTCTGAAAAACAGGTAGTAGCTCTTGATAAACTTGAACACATAAGACCGCGTGTGATGGTGAGGATACTACAAACTAGATTATTTTATAAGAAAGAATACTTTCACACTTATTAGACACCTAAGTAATGTAAGACATTAAAGAGGAGACTTATATTTGGAAATATCAGCGGTTGAACTTTAAGTTAATTACATTAATGTTTGAGATTTTTCAGTATTGGCGAGAGCATTGTATGGAAGTATTTAAGATAGCCGCGACTAATTTTCACTCATTTCTTAGCCAATCGGGAACTATTTCCTGCAAATGGATAGTTTATGGAAGAGAAAACAATGATATTACAAAAAAATAATCAGATTTTAAATATTTAATGCACTGTTATTCGATTCTGATGTATAGTTGTAATTGTTCTGAAAAGTAAAGTCTCTGTATACAGTTATTTCTATTCAAGCAGTATTTAGATGTGTAGATGATAGTTTGTTCATATGAACATTTCGTTAAACATGTTTGAATTCCTTTGATGAATCTTCACAGCAATAAAGATTATAGATTGAAAACATCAAGCAGTCAGCATCATTAACAAAGAGTCATACCACATTATTAACCTTAAAAGTATCCAGTAAATATATTACTTCAATGTGACGTATTATATCCGATTACCTAATACTGAATTTCGCTATGCGACGAGGGCAAAGTCAGAGTATACACAAAAATATCTAATTTTTAGGAAAACATTGTAACTTGGATTGAAATATTTTTCAACTGTTCTGAATAATAATTACTAATAGTCGATGACTAACTTAGCTTTATCGTTCGCCAAAGCATATCCCTTATTAGGAATTATCTTAGGAAAGTATCTATTAAATATTGTTTGGTTTGTCAGATGGAATAGATAACTAGACCAATCAACACCTGATAGGAAATAAGCGGATAACAATATGTGTTGTATACGACTCATTTGCAGAGTCAAAGAAATGGTATTGATAGAAACAGTGTAATTTGTAGTACATATAGAGATGTAATTAATATTTCAAAGTTAGAATGACTGAACATCAATCACGGTTCTGAAAGAACAGGTAAAAGCATTTCGAAATGGTCTTTTCAGTATAACTCATGATGTAAAATATCGACTTCAACAGCAATTTTAATTAATTAAAATCAAAAAACCATTGTCTTTGACATAATCGCATGCATCTCATAATAGTATATGATGATTACTCATTTATAACTTACATCATCGAATGTTGGATTTGTTTTTGGCTTTGAAATCAGAAAACAAGTGATAAACTCTCTGCCCAGTAAATCATTTCGTAGGCGCGAGAATCCCATACCTACACGTTTGATTATCATATCTTTGGTTATTATTAAATGGAATGGTAGTATGCCTAGAAATTCCTTCTCTGGTAAACTGATTGTCAAATCCAATAGAGATATATGTTTGTTGAGTTGATTATCTTTTTCTAATAATTCGACCCACGATAAACCTTTATTGTATAATTTGAATGTGTATATGTATGAAGCTGCTTGCTTTCGTTTATCAACTAATTTTGCACTAACATCCAATTGAAAATATAATTTAGCTATATATATCAGTTGACTTCGCAGATAATTTGAGAATTCTTCACGTATTGAAGAATAGACCAAAGTGATAACATTGTGATTGATTGAAGTAATTTGTATACTAGGTGCTTTAATTTTTGGATAAGAATAATGTAAATATTCATGCAGTTCATTGAGGTTGTTTAGAAAATCAATGTAATTTTTACCTAATACTTGTAGTGATTTCTGGAAACCATTATTACTCAAATAATCAACTGATTGAATACCGAATTCATAATAAATATCTTCTTCCGGTAGGCCAATAAACTCACACAATGTACCAATGATTCGTGTTAATAATCGAGTGGAATAGTTTTTATTAACTTGTATTTCAAGTGGTTGTCCGTTGACTATTTCTACAGCAGCTTCCCATGTTGCTGGTCCGAATGTCGATTCAATATAATTTCGTAGAATTTCAAATAATAAACCATACATGTGTTTGTATGATTTAGTGAATGAGTTAGAAGTAATTTCTTTAATATAAATATATATATATATATATATATATATATATATATATATTCATTCAATATACAAATGATGACCTCGAAATCGATCATTATGAACAGAGTTTGAGAAATGTTTCTAATCATTATCACCAGAACAAATAAAATTTTGTTTTTGTTTTTAACCATCTTCCCCTCCCATTTTTCATTTGCAAATACTCAACAATCAAGTTTAAATTTTAAAATGAGGTGTTCACAGAATAATTCACATAATAGAATCAAATCTTGAAGTTTAATATAAATGTAGTACTTTCAGAGGATTATAACGACCGAAATCTTTTTCATTTGTCACAATGAATGCTAATATCCTCAAATATTCAATGAGTAAACGAGTTAATATCGAAAAGGAACTTGATAAGCCAGTTTGTTACAGATGAATGAAATAATTGAGTAGATCATAGTTAAAGTTGATGCATTTCGGATAGAATTAATCCATATTAGTTAAGTCAGTCAAACATTCAATTAAACGAATTCGATAATAGGTTTGAAGAATAATTTTCGTCATTCACCCGGCTTTACTAAAGACAATTTTGTATTAAACAAAAGGTGAATCTCACTTAAATCATTGGTCGCTCAATGATAGACTACTATTCCAAACCAAGACTACTGTGTGGCCGTTTTATCCTAGTATGATGCTCACCAACAGTGTATATCTACGACCACGCAAGCAAGAATCGAACCCAGGAAGTTCGGTCTCTTGAGGGAACGATTAACATCCCGAGCACTGAGCCAACATACAACGGTGTTAAATAGCTTCAAGAGGGTATTCTCGGAGTTCTATGGAAAAGCAGGGGTCAATTTAGCTTAATCATGTTGATTGTGAGATAGTTACAGATTGTAGACAGTTAGTAATGGTCAGACAATATAGTGGATTGATTGAAGTTGGACAGTAACACCTTCGAATCCGGATTCAGTATTCTAAAGGTTAAGAGTTCACGGGAAAGACCGAAGTTTCTGGTTTAGATTATCTATTGTGGGTTCGTGGATGTGCACTACTGCCGCGTCTCATACTAGGACGAAACGGCCACCAAGTGCTTCCAAGCTTCTGAATGTAGTCCATAGTCAATGGTTTAAGTGAAACTCAACAATCTCCACAAGGGTGTAGCACAAAAGTTGGTTCTCATTGTTATCGTTATTTGTTATTTGTAGGTAGGATAACTTTGTTCAAGACCTCTGCTCTTTGAGTAACAGAGGCACAGTTAATTACTTATTTAGACTAATTATGTGAAAAAATTATTTCGAAAAAACACTCACGCCTATAACCATTGTGTTCTACAGAACAATAAAGATAAGAAAATAAATAAGTGTAACTCTCTATTTGTTATTCAAAAACAACACAGTTGTACTTTAGTGTGAACAATGAGCATAATGTTGATGAAATTAATAATTAGCAGTTTCAATCGTTTATCTTGTTTCGCATTATGAAATTTCTAATACAAATCAAAATAACATGAATTTGTAATGTTTCCTCTCATAACTGTGAACGGCCACTACCAAAGATTACGTAAACCACTTACTAAACGAAAAACAGGTTATAACATCAAGTAAGTGTAGGAGAATACAAAAATATGTTCAATTAGGTGTACAAATATCCAGTCACAAATCAGAGTTATTCTAACATTATTCATCATGATTCTATGGTGTTTCATCCTTAACACTTCCAGCTACTCCACAATCATCACTGAGAACCTATGATTATCTAGGAAGGTCAGATCATCTAAGCTACACAACTCCTAGTGAACACATACAAATAAACGATGGTGAGATGATGATTCCGTCTGGAATGATAAACTCATTCATGTTGAGAAATTTAGATTTCACCGAATAAATGAGGATAAATTCAATAGACAATGAGAAAAGTGCCACCACTTATGATGACCTGTGGCAGTTAGAACAATTGAAACCACTCCCCTTATGACTTCTAAGATCTCTTCAACCCAGAAGACAAAAATGCTAACAAATCTTAAAAAATTCCATTGATAATCTGCCACTAGTGATTTTCCATCTTCGTCTCTGTGTCCAGTTCTATTGCATTTCTCTTAAACTTAATTTCATGTTTTTTATATGATAATGATGAATGAACATGATCCTGTTATCAATTTTTAGAAATATTACTAGTAAGTGTAGTTCATTTTTGTTGTTCTGTTTCAAATAAATGGTATTTTTGAGGCGTAGTCAATTTTTTATCACGAATTTTCATGATTTTATCACAAACAATTATGTGCGTGTTAACGAAATGATTTAATAATAAATAACATAAAGTTAATTGAAATTAAGAATGTTAAATATTTTCCTTTCAAAAATCTGTGCATTGTGCTGTCTGGAGATAAGAAATTCGTACCAAAGGTGAAACATTAACTAAATCAAAGTTTATCATAAAAGAAAGATAGGAAATTTGTTTGTATTTATTTGTGAGAGAGTGATTTAATGAAAAAAATGAAATATGCAATTATTGTAACATCAAAAAGATAAACTAATACTTCACAAAACATAAAAATGTAACATGATTGATTGTTACTAAAATGACTGTTACACTACTGGCAACTTCATGAGTCTTCATTCACAGAATTTTTTGTAAATTCGCAAAGCCAGTCGCCTAGATATTGTAGTGGATTTTCAGGTTGAACAACACCAATCTCTGTTAATCCTAATGTTAATGGATTAACTATGAAATAAAAAAGAATAAAGTAAAAACTATTATTTTATTACAGTGTATTTATTTGTCATTAACGTCAAAAACAATTGTAAATCAAGCAACATCCGAATTCTCTGACACTGCAAAAAATCTATTCAAATAACCTTGGTAGTACTTTTTAGTATAATACATGGTTAGGAAAACTGCTTGAAAATGTGAGTTCAAAACATATTCATTTCAGAGGCTTTATAAAGTAAACAAATCAAGAGTGAAATCTTTGCTTAAACGCAATATTGCTATTCCCTCATTTCACTGACTCTTTGTCCAGTTACGTCTTTGCGAAATACTACTTCAACTTTCTCATTTCTTCCCCTTCATCATCGTTTTCATGGTTGTGAGTGACATTCATCACAGATTTACTTCATCTTGGGTACCATTGAAAACTAGTGAGCACCAGACATTTGCTTTATCTCAATGTTCACCGACAGCCTTGCCAGAAATCTAACCAAGTATCTTCTGGTCTTAATGTTGGGGTTATGGATCAGACCTCTGGGTTGTTATTCGGCGATATATATTTCCAACTTAGATCAATTCACGATCATCTATTAACACCATTTACTAGTTTTATCTTCGATATGCTCAAACTTTACTGGTTACAACTTGCATCAGAAACTCAGCTTGAAACAAATCACTAAGGAGTGTGATATAGCATTGATGTAGTGTTGTCATCCATGTCAGGTGGATAATTCATCTTCACACTGTATTGTAATACCCTTCAGGCTACTGAATAAATCCTATCGAATACTTGGTATCTTTGATTCCCCTATTAATGAAGTAACACAATTTATTATGGACTACTGTGTTATATAAGTACGGCTATGATTGTACAATTCTAGTAAATTGTAATATTGAAAAGAAAATTTTATCTACTAAATGTTTAAATTTCTCAAAATGACAGGAAATCGTTATTTCATTAGTCTCTTAGATCTTGGTTTAAAAAATATTAATCAACATATAAATTAAAATTCAATTAAATTTGAAGAAATTCTAAAATAAAACGTTTATAACATTTTATGAAACTAGGAATATCATCATAATGAAAATAGAACTAATTTCCTAAATGAAAATGACCAACTTAGTTGCTTTGTTGATGAGTGGAACAAGGAATTGAGTACTTTTGTTTAGATAAAGTATCCCAATGAGAATTTGGAATTTAAAAATGATCAGACATGAGGTATACTTGGAAGCGAACTGTTTGAGGTGATTCGAAAATCATTCTTCTAGAAAAGCTATGATTAACGTTCGCAAACTGCAAACGATTTTTTATATATCTGAGAGATAAAACTTTCTTTATTCTCTACCTGCCATACTGAATTACAGTTTAATTGGCTTTAATCACCCAAGCAACCCACATATATGTTGTTTGTAATATCAAGCATGCCAGTTTGACCCAGTAGAAATCTTAAGTATTAATGGGCTAAAGACTGAACAGTGAATCTACATCTGAACTATAATGTTGACTTCATCATTATAATCATATTATTATTATTATTATTGTTTTTATTTCACATACTTAGTCGAAAGCAGATATATCCATTGTGATAATTTAAATGAAGCGAAACACTTTCAAATCAAGAGAACCGAATAAGTTATTCGTTGGTTTCAGTTTTATAAAATTTTAAGTAAGAATATTTAAGCATGTAGAGTTTTTTCGTTTGTATAACTCCTAAACTGATTGTTTTCCGTTTAGCTATTTACATATAAACCACTCAATGAGATGTTGAAATATCATTATTTATCAAAGAAAATTAACCAAACATTGTACACAGTATTATTAGTAGAGGTGGATAGTGGCTGGCAGTGAAATCCAGGACGCGCATTTGGTCCAATTTCGGACTCATTATCTGCATGTACTTGCATCTGAGGGCGGAACGCATGTCCTGGATTTTACTATTAGTCACTATCCACCTCTACTAATACTGCTTGTAACCTGAAGTGAATATCGAGGCAATCCACTCCAGATGCACATATGCTAAAGAGACTGATCGATTGCAGCCATAAACATTAATAGGACGATATATATACAGTAGTTTTCAGAAGTCTTAACTTTTTATGTTAGGAATTTCTAAACGTGTTTCAGATCATTATAAATGTTCATAGTTTTATTGATTAACCAATCAGGACAAGATAAAATAGTTTTGCTTACCTATTTTCTGAAATATTAACGATTTAGACGATTTAAAAGACTGAATTAATTCTATTCGCTCATTTTCATTCACAAGTTTGTTTGTATATTCTGATTCTAAAATGTAAGTTGAGAATTTTGTTAATGATTGAAGCGATAAAAACCAAACTATCAATCCCTTTTATAAATTTCGATAGAACAGTGAGAAGACGTCACTGATCAGAACAATTACATCTTTTCACTCTTCTGTCGAAATAAAAATTGCTACAGTTATTTAATATCAGATTAGGTTTAACTTGAAAAGCAACTGATACAGTCTAGATTCGACGTTGTATGAATATTCAATTCTATTATTAGTTTTCTCCCAAGGAGAGTAGAAAATCTTTCTTTTTACAGTAATATTCAATATAATTCAATAAACAGCTCATTGACATTTAAAAATTCCATAAAATAAAAAGTGGTTCGATTGTAATAAGTTTCTTGAGTGTCACAGTTGTGCTTTGATGATTTACATTGTATCAAGCATTTCAGCAGCACAACTCCAATGGAAATCATATCGGTTTGTCCAACTATGAAGACCAGTTCCCAGACAATAAATGGTCCGCTTATTTCTAGACATATTTATTGATAAAATAAGTCGTTAGAAAAATCAGTATTCAAATAAAAGCGTGACCATAAAAATAAGGTAGAAATAAACGAGACAATAGGTAAAATGACAATTTACGATTCTGTTCTAGTGATATTAATTCTGGTAAATTTCGTGTCGTTTGCAAATAATCCATTTGTTTAAATTGTACTTCATGTTCCTTTTGATTATTTTTGAAGCAGTGCTCAGCCGAGACATTACTTTGAATGGCTATAGTGTTGATTGTTTTTAGATTTGTTTCCTGAGCTTTGTAATCATTTTGAATTTCTTCTATCTCTGCCTCATCTTCAGAAGGAGTAGCCGTACTTGGTTCACTTGCATAATGATCATCATTAACTTCTAAATATGAGTGATTTAGTTCATTTATTTGTCTGTAATGATTTTCAGCATCTTCTTTCAACAAATTTCGGAAGTTCAACTCTTCTCCAGTTGTTCCATCAATCATCGTAAATTTTTCTTTACGGCTTTTAACGAAATAAGTGGTCATTTCTCCTTTACCCTATTTCATAGAGTAAATAAAACATTAACTTGTTAAAGTTTCCATCACAAGTTGACAGTGTTTAGTAAAAATCGATTAATGTAAGTAAAACAATAAGGAAAGGTAAAATCTCTTTAGCAATGAATTAATCTTAATTCATGCAATTTATACTTAATGGGAGTGATAATGAATCTAGTCTAAGTAATTGGATTATACAGACACATTCCTGTTAGCAATTTTTAAGTTCGAATACACGTTGTATGACCTCATTACTTCGTTTATATAGATTCGAATATTCATTTTCAAATCCACGTTTATCTAAAATGTCAATGTACATTAAGGAAACTTTTGCTATGCTGTTTGGTACACAGTGTATGTTGAGTCGTAGATCAATGTTTTGTGACTGGAAACATTGATTATTGAAATATAATAGCTCTAGGTTGGACTGTTGACTACAAGGCTGATTTGTATTGACTCAACTGTTTGAGAAAGCAAGATGTGCATTATAATTACAGATTTACCTCAATAATAACTATCAAAAGAATAAACCTTATGTTAGTGGCATTTCAAATGACTAACTAATGTGGTCAAATATACATGTATTTAGTTTAGTATAACAGATGAGTCTCTTAAATCTTATTTAAAATACTATAGAGGTGATGATATACATATTTTCTGTAAAGCAGACTGAATTATAAAATGCTGACTGGATAATATTAATTCCGTAAGTTGTTGAAATCATAATCTGAAAGTCATAAGACTAGGTTTTAAATCACATGGAATTATATTGAAAACTTATTTCTCAAAATATGCTAGCCCATTTAAAACAGGGCTGAATATTAATCTACACATTTTCCGACTTACCTTAATGGTCTGTTCACCTCGATATTCAAGAATATAAGGATAATTAAATAGGTTCTTTGCCAGGTCCGAACTAATATGAACTGTATCTGGCTAAAAATTGAATAAATAAATAATGAGAGGAAGTTTCCTGAAGTAAATCTTTTAAATAAAACCAGATTTTCATTAAAATTAGTGTTATTTGAAGTCCTTGATTATTAAACAAGGAATTCCAAAGCTCTAAAGGATTCAGTAATTAAATGAGGCTACGATGAGTATTTAAAGTACTTTAGAGAAGACAATGTCTTCAAGAACTTCTATTTTATTACGAAATATTTGTTAACGTTCACCACTTAAACATGATTTATGAAGGATGTGAAAAAAATTTACTGAGCAATCTTTGAAATGGATTTTAATTATCACTTCTTTAGAATAAAGTCAGCTGCAATATTGTTTGCCAAAGTGACATTACATTTAATTTACAACTCACAGTATATGTTAATCAATCAATGATGCAAAATACGACTACTTTAATTGGTGAAAGTTTTACAGACGTTGTAGAAAAGCAGTAAAAAAACCAATCTATAAATTATTAAATCTTTTATTTTGGCAATAACCACACATATAGGCTATATGCAACTTATTCCTTTTAATAAACTTCTGTAAAGAAAGAAAAACTAAGTCGTCTATATAAACTGAATTCACGTAATCACATTTTCTTCAAGTTTCCCTGTTTTATCATAGCTCAACTAATTACTTCAACATTAATCAGTAAAATATCTGACCTATTGATTTAGTCATCCAATCGATAACGTTTCTACTCTATACAATCTTCACCAATTTCGATTATTGTCACTATTATGAAGATGGTTTTGTAGTTGTCTTTCGGTAATTGATAACAATCCTACTCTTTTATACAACTTAACCAAAACGATCTGCGCATATTCTTTGCGTTCGATTAAATCGTAATTTGTTATTGACTTCCCTATTTCATCATTCTATAAATTGAACTTGTATGACAAAATAACTCAATGGTAAAACGGGCTGTATAAAACATGGTAAAAAAGACCTTTAACTTACTAGTCCAGTACTCATCATTCTATTAGCAGTATTCACTGTATCACCAAATAAACAATATCTTGGTGATTTAAATCCAACAATTCCAGCAACAATAGGACCAGTATGACAACCAATGTATAATTGTAGCGGTATATTTTGTTCAGATTGAGTTACAGTTAAATTATCCGAAACAGCTTCATTAGGCCAAAATAAATTTTGTTTTGTAACTTCTAGAATATCTAGAGCCATTTCAGTTATATGAGCTGAATGTAAATATGATGGACTTGGTGCACCGGATACCAGCATGTAACTGTCATTGACTGTTTCAACCTTGGTGTAACGAAAATTAAGATTCATTTCACTTGATAACAAAACATGAAGTATTCTACTAGGGATGTATTGTAAGAAGATGGAAATTTTACCGTAAACAATAGAAATTTCTAACTGTTTGTTGCATCTTCCATTAAAAACCCGACTATTTGTACCTAAATGTTATTTGATAATATTACTCGTGGTAGTAATACTAGATAAAAGTAGCTGTTATTTTTGTTTAATCAAGAATATCAGTGAACTTGGTAATTTTAGCAGTTAGCTTCAGCCCTCATTGACCACGAGTTGCTGTAAAGCTATCTGTTGATGAACTGGAAGTTAACGATCAGATGTATACATCTTATTCACTCGAGAATTTGAGAACAGTATCAAAAGCCCTTATTATAGAGTAAACCTGTCGAGATCTGATTGCGAAATATCTACCATAGAGTTTTCGAGTTAATTATTCAAATGCAAGTGTTCTGTCTCCAATGTTATTTTAACATTAAAAAAAAACACAATAATACAATGTCTTCTAGAAAGTTTTATTTCTGTTGTTGAGTAGGACTAATTTACGTAAAACCTGAATGTATATTAGACGATTATCTCATGGTATAAAAAAGTCATCTTCATACAGAAATCCTAGTCATGTAAGTTATTCGTGATTGTATAGATCTTTTATTCATTTCTTACAAAGTAGTTTAGACATGAAGCAGAAATAGTAAAAATAAGCCAGAAAAAACGATTCATTTCTCAAACTCAACTATTTCATTCATTCATCAAGAATGCTGTATGAGATGATGGAGAAAACTTGTAGCTCAGGTGGGTGATTGTTGTGGTGTTTCGTTCTCTGAGCTGGATGATTCGGTTGTGTAGCTTTCGTTGCTCTTATGAGCAACATCGTCAGCACAAACTTCGGATACTCTTCTCAAACTCAACTATCTTATTAATTCATCAAAAATGATATATACGTAATTTTTCATTTTGACGCTTAAATTCTTATCTCCAACAATATTTTGTTTTGATGAACAGCTGAAGTACAGAACTATAAATTTTGTCTTTTAATCAACAAAATACACTGTCGTACTCTTGTTCAGTTTATTAGTTATTTGAAATGCTTTACCAGACAAAGCTAAAATACCGGGCTTTTCTGTTAATTTTTGCACTTCGTAAATGAAGAAAATTAGGTAGCAAGTTAAGGGATAACTTTTCTGTTTGAATTATCATTATCGTTTTGTTCATGTGAATAGACTTTTTCATCACTCCATTTACCTGAGTTAAAAATCATAAGCTGATAGATAACTGAAATATCATAGTAGTTTGATAGAGTACACTTTGAACGTTTTAGTAGAAAAATTTTTTAGTTTTGACTAACGATCTCATTATTACCCTCAAAAATATAGTTGTAGCCTCGCAATATAAAATAGTGTTTTAAAACTTTTTTTGTAGCTAGGCAGTCATTCGGAAACAACACCAAATAATATCAGTTATAATGTGAGTATCGATCAATATTCAACAAATATATAATTCTAAACCTTATGAGTTCGGCTTTCATTCATTTCATTATTTGCTTTCAACTCATCTCATGTACTTTTGTTTAGGTAATTAAGTTAGATGACTAGTTTTCTAGTACAATGTAATAAGAGCTACCATAGTTTACAACTGATTTTCACTTTGCTTTTATTATTCGAATGATTTAATTAATAGTATACAATAAGCTTCGGAACAAAGTCATCTTATCAGTGTGAAGAAAATAAACCTTTCCAAATAACAAATGTAAGCAAATCTCTACATTTGTATTCTTATAACAATCGGCCAAATCAAGCGTAACATTGCTAATTTTACAAATAAGCTCTAACGTCGTCTCTCGAGATTACTGAATAAGAATATCAGCCTAATTTTGAAATTACAATTTGTAAGCAAAGGAATTTTTTCTATAGTTTATAAAGGTAAAGTTATGATTTGTCTGAGTTCTGTAAGCCAATATCGGTTCCATCTTAAAATGTGAGATTTTTGTTAGTTATTGTGATTCTAGTTCTTGTTTGGTAACTTTTTAAAAAGATTTATGCAAAGTAAACGGAAAAGAAAATGAATTCATTTCTGTTAATTCTGCCAGTAAAGAAGTTTTATTTCTTTCTGTCAGCTTCCAAAACTACTAAAAACTCAATAATGAATGAAGTTTATACTTTCCACAATAATACATCAGGTTTAAATTCCTATGAACACTTCTACAATGGTGGTTTAGTAACGGAAGTTAGAGTGAACATTTCGTCTTGATGACCAGTCAGTTAGATTTATCCACCTTCCAATGTTATTGTTCATAATAAAACTTGCATTCAGTGATCATTCTTTCAAAAAAAAATTAAAGTGCTTCACGCAATTTAGACCTGATTTCTTTTTCATTTAAAATTGCTCTACCTTAAAGAAATATCTGCATTTGTTTTAGATTTTTCATCTTCAATAAATGATTTCATATAAATTAACAAACAAAGAAATATAAACTGATTGATTATTATATTTAATTATTTATACCTTATAAACATTATGTGATTCAGTCATTGAATCATATAATGTGTACATTTGATTTAATATATCGACAATTTTATGTGGACACATTCGACTTGAATAACTAGAAAAATTAACCACTTTTGTGAAGCATATTGTCACTGAATCATATGCCTAAAACATGTTAGTAAAATAAATAAAAAAATAAAAAAAAGAGAACAGGCAAAATAAAGTTGTTGATAGTTTATGAAATTTTAAAAGTCATCTAACTTAATATAAACAGTTTTTTATGCTGATCCGTAAATGTAACTTATTAACTAAGTAAATTATTGAATATTTACAAAAGTCCGTGAATCTAAGGGATTCAGTTCAGTCACTTCATGCATGATATTAAAATGATATTTATTGAGAAAATTTTTATTGTGGATACAGCAACAATATATCTCCTGATTGGTTCTTGAAAGCATCATTGGTGAACTTTTGTATGTTCATAAACATTATTCCACAGAAAAAAACATTTCATCACCTTTATCCGGAATAACAGAGTAAAACTACAGATGATGTATTATATACTGAAGCTATAAAATGGTGGCCAACTTATCATTATTCATAACTGCTTACATTATATTCTAGCCATAAATCTAATTTATAAGCACAACTCAAATTTCTAAACTTAATCTACAATCCTAATCCAATATCCAACGTTGAGTCCTAGTCATGACATAAATCCTAACCCGAATACTTAAGCAAAACTGTTGGCTGTTTTTATACTGCATTCCAATTGGCTATATACAGTTTCTATTCTCTTAGGATCATTTAAAAGGCTCTGATTGTCGTTGGTGCAATATAGTTTTATGCAGTATTTACCATTTACTCCGTGTTCTTGTGAGGCAAACGGACCAATTAAATGCAATAAACTGTAAAGAATACAATAATTCAGTCGTAAACTGAGTTTTTTTCACAACATAAACAAAAAACCAATAAAAATAATTACGGAAATGTCAATTGAAAACGTTAATAGGCAATCTGAGTAATCATTTTCGTGAATGTTGGCGAAGATATCTGTAATATTAAAGTAAACATATATACCAGTCAATGGTTGAATGACTTCGGAAATTTCTTGTATTTATAAAGTTATTTAATATCATTTATGGTTTATGATAACTAAAAATATTTGACTGGTAATTGCTGAGTCATTCGAAATTATGATTTATTGGTTATTTTAACAACTATTTGACTTTCCTATATACCCTCGATATTTTTGACATCGTGATCAAGTTCATTAAATGAATAGTAATAATAATTCAAAGATGAAAATTAATTTTATACTTTTAACAGACAAAATGAATTGTAAGTAGTTATTAATTCACTCTCTTTACTAAGTTAACAGACAAGTGAATGTTATTTCATTTTCATTAAAAATGCTACACAAAAAGAGATAAATGTAGAAAAAATATTCACCTTCATTGTTTCTGAAGAATGTTTTCCTTGACTTATTTGTTTTGCAACTTCTTTAGGTAAACATTGTTCCAATAGTTGATAGGTTTTTATTCGTTGTTTATCAAGTTTTTTGGATATTCTTGATAACTCTTTGCTTTTTCTTTTTTGCTATGTAGACAGAAAATTCAAAGTTGATTTTCAGTGATAATTTAATAAAATCATTCAAGTCACCAGCAAAAACAAGCATGGTGTAAACCTATTAGTGAGTTTAGCGACAAGAGACTTTCAGTGACCTCTAAATGATGATTATCTAGGTCATTCTGGTACTTGTTTTTACCAGATTGACCTGTGGTAAGTACGTGTGATTATCGACCTTCAGTAATAATTGAAGTCTGGAAACATTAAAAGACAGTCTGTTCAAACGAATCTTTGGAAGTGGTTTTCATTACCAAAGGCATATGAAACTAAAATTTTTCCTTTAATCTGAAATGAAGCTAATGTTAGTAACATTGGTAAAAGGAATCACTTGAAGCTGTCGAAAGGTCAACGAAGAGGAAATCTGTTTTCACTTATTTCCATATTACTTCACTCAGTCATAATTTATGATTTAAACGAAATGCCATTCAGAATCATTTTCTAATAGGTACGCATTTTAAACTATGATCTCTATTTTCTTTACTTAATTATGCACCATCACTGTTTCTATAATCAGGATCAATCGCATTTTGTGAAATCGGCACTGTGATCTTAATTTGCCTGTTACGTTCAGATATGTCTGCTTAAACAGTGATTTCTCTTTACATGCATATTGCATTTACACATTGTACATCAGACATAAACATCCACTTAAATCTTCACTGTTCTCACCTAAGAGCATAAGGGTAAAAATTTAGCTGTTCTCTCTAACTCCTACAAATATTGTCCTATGATATCATCCCAGGAATGTGGGTGCAATGCTATATGTGATTAAATGATAAATTATCTTGCATTTTAAAAATTCATCAACCTGACCTGGAGTCCATCTGAGGTTACTTCCGGTCCCAAGTCCGAGTAAAGGGTCAAGATTGGGCATGGAGTTGGCGACCCCATCTTATACAAAAGTAACTCGCTAAAAAAACGCTAACCAAGAAAAACAATTTAACCATTTAAAATATGCCCTGGAAGTTAGAAGGCCTTAATTCAGAAGAGTTATGACGTCTTATGATGAAAGCCGAGTTCCTTCGGAAATTATGAGGCCAATACCTTTTCTGACGACCAGATTAACCATTAGTAAAGATACGTGGAATGTTCGTACATTTTGAAAGACCGAGAGAATCATCCAAGTTACTGCATAAATGCAGGTTAGACAATTAAGACTAGATTCAGGAGCGCTGTTGTTACACTCCAGCCAAGAAGAAAACAATGCTCCACACACAAGAAGTTGCGCTGGTGTTGTCCGAACAAGCACAAAAGGCACTGATAGAATGGTAATGACCAAGGTATCCCCCAAAACAAAGAAAGAGGGTATTAGAATGAACTTTATCCAATGCTATGCGCGTATCAACGATTACAGTGAAGACGTTAATGGTCGATTCTAAGAAAGGCTGCAGTCAATCGTTGACAGATGCTCACCAAAGGATTTGACCATTCTTATGGGAGACCTAAATGCCATTGTTGACATGGATAACGTCGGATATGAAGATTTTACCGGACGACATGGAACGAAAATGGTGAGAGGTTAGCAAACCCATGTGCTTTCAACAAACTGGACATCGGTGACACAATATTCTCACACAAACGCGTACACAAAACCACATGCATCTCACCGGATCACACTATTCAGGACCGAACCGATCATATACGTAATAAGAAAATGTTCAGAAGGACGATAGAGGACGTGAGAACCAAGAAAGGAGCTGACATAGCCTCAGATCACCACTTGCTGGTCGCCAATATGAAAATGAAACTCAGGCAACACTAGACAACGTCACAGACAACATCACAGAAGGTTAATACGGCCTTCGAGCTCAACGAATTCAAGATAGACCTCAGCAATGGGTTCCAGGCCTTTCATGATCATGATAGAAAGGATACAACCTTTGAGAACATTTGGAAAGGGATCAATGAGGCAATCACTTCAATATGTCAGGAGGTTCTGAGCCACAAGAAGTACGATCACAAGGAATGGACCGCCGTCGAAAATCTTGAATCGAAGAGCTCCACTGAACCTACCCAACATCGAAGCACAACTCCCAGTCAACGTCAGTGACTATGAGAAAGAATTCGATAGCGTAGACAAAGCTTTTCTAACATTAGGGCGTGCCTGAGAATATAGTCACCATCATTCAGAATTCTTATGATGAATTCAACTGCAAAATCGTGCACGGAGGACAGCTGACAGACTCGTTTGAGGTGAAGACCGGTATCAGGTAAGGTTGCGTACTCTCACCCTTTCTCTTTCTCCTGGTGATCGACTGGATTATGAAGACGTCGACATCTGGAGGGAGGCACCGTATACAGTGGACATTCAGGACGCAGATAGACGGTCTGAACTTCACAGATGATCTGGATCTTTTAGAGCACACGCAACAACAAATGCAAGAGAAGACGACTAGTATACCAGAAGTAGGTCTCAACATACAAAAAGGGAAAAGCAAGATTCTACGATACAACACTACATGCGCCAATTGAAAGCATTTACACACATTTTTTAACAAAGGCACGTGCGGTTGCAGAGCAGCTAATTTTACTAGAGTATTATGTTCCTCAGTTTATTTCCTCTATGACTTCATTTTGTTTCAGTTCAGAAGATTAACTTCTATAAGTATGTGAAAAATTATTCTTTACATTGTATATAAGTATTCTTGTTAATTTTTATTGTAAAGCATATAATAAATGTCATCCATGACTCTTATCGCGATAGCTAATTTTTATAAGATTGATCTTAATTACAGTTATATTGTATTTGTTTGGATAATAATTTCATTTAACTTTTTCTGGAGCTAAAATATAGTTTTCGCGTTGACAAGGCTCTTTGATTTTTTGAAGGACAGATTAAGATTATCATGATTATTATTAATTTATTTCCGCTAGTGTGAAACTACTTTGAATTACAACCCGACAGATCAACTCATACATCGTTAACTGCTACACCATACTAAAACTGGTCAGGTGCCCAATTCTCTATTGATTTATTCGCTTTTACTCAGTCAAAATCAATGCATAATTAAAAGCGTATTTGAAGTAGATTTAACGTTTGATGAAATAAAAACAAATAAAAAGATAAAACTTACTTTTTCTAACAATAATAAAAGATTTTTAGACTCTATATCTCCTACAATCATTTTTTCAACGTTTGTATCATATAAATGAATATCATGTAAATAGAGTCCAAAATCAATGAAAGATTTGACTTCTAAAAAACTAAACAATGAAATTAATACGAAATAAAACAACCTAAAGTACAATCATTTAGATCAACTTATATCAGTTTAATTATTATTTTGATTGTGTTAAGAAGAATAATTACAATTATAATTATTATTTTATTAGGATTTTCAATGAATAATAAGTCTCCTGATAACATTTATGTGGAGTAAGTTTTTCTAACGTTTCTAACAGCATCATTAGTACACATTTTGAAAATAAAATGAGTTTTAACAATTTTTTGCGCAAGTTACTCATGCATTCAACTTTTTTTAAATTCTATTAAATCATTCAGATTTTTTTTTCAAAACAAGAAGTATCTTGTAAGTTTTTTAGATTTCACTATAATAGTATTTTTTGAAATCCACTTATTTTGCCTTCGTACTATTATTGCAAAATTAAATTTTCAAAATGATAAAAATCGGTTCAGCCAAGAGTTTTTATTTTATGATATTTTTAAAATGATAATAATCACAGTATTATTGATTATAAAAATTTTGTAAATATAGTAACAGTGAAGAGAAATGGTTAAATATAATATCCTTATTTTCATTGATTGCACTGATAACAATGTTATTGTAGGGAGCTTGAATATTCATCATGAAGACAACTGAAGAATTACAATTGGAAACGGAGAGCTAATTATAGTAAGATGAAATGTTCAAATTTTATACGAACTGTTATCAGTCGGATCATAGAAAATAAAATAAATCAGTTGAGGTGAGAGTAAAAGGTATATAGAGAAGATGGAAGGAAAGCAGATGAGTGTGAAAGGATAAATAACTAAATCAGGAAAGATGGAGACTATAGTAGAAGAAGAAGTTTCTGGTTTTATCAAATGTACAGTAAATTCTTTGACAATGCTAAGAGGACGGAAGCTAACTCACCTTTCTGTTTATCTTTGAGTCTCAGTGGGTATATCACATTTATTTACATTTTTAAGCGATATCGTAATATCATTCAGATTGTAATCATGACTATTAGTCCAAGAATGGTGTATCTGCGTTTTGTTTCTAATTAGTAAATGGTATCATCAAATAAAATCTTAAACCATTGGATACATGGTTAGGTTCATAATACCTGAGCCAACATTGAGAACACATTCATAAACACATAACAGATGATGAGTTTGTACAAGGTATTGATGAAATTATATATATTAATTGTACTGTAATTGAATAATTTACTTACTTTGGTTTACCAATAAAAAGTATCATAGACCATTCTTTTATATAAATCATTTGACCTTTAAGATGTAACATAGATTTACGATCCTTATCTATGAGAGGAAAATAAAAGTAATCTTTATACTGTTTGATTTAACAGCAATTTAACAATTTCAGTCTTTGGTTCAAAAAAAATAAAAAATTAATAGATATGAAATTTGAAGTTAAATACACATTTTGTTATCAAAGATAACTAAGCTTTGATATTCAGACGGTACCTGATCAACAAGTGTTTCGCCATGCTCTCTCGTTAACGATTATTTTTCATGGAAATTTACAGAGAAAAACAGAATCAATTTTCGTATAATTTTCCATTGACTATGTTAAAGGGTATAGCTTAGAACTTATTCTCTTTGCATTTGAAGTTGCAGTTAAAAGTGATAGTAACATTAATAATAGCGGATTTCTATTCTTTACGAGAAATTCTTTACAGTATAAAGTTCTTATCTCTAGTAATCCATTATTGAAATACATTTATCATACATTAAAGGGTTATGGAGATTGTTGGGTTACTTTGGAATCACGATTTGATCAATCTTAAACCATCATTGGATACCTAGCAGCACTGGATGGCCGTTTCGTCATGATATGGAGCTCATCAGAAGTAATCGAACTCCCAAATTACAGTAAAAAACAAAGTTTAATAATAACTATGGTTTTTCACATCCTATTTTTCAAATATCTAGCACTACAACAATTTTTTTAACTGCACAGCTTACAAGTACATGACCCAAATATTCAAAAAGGCTAGTAACTGAGTTTAGTTCGTTTACTAAACTAAGTAAATGGGTATGATTAAAACAAATTGACTTTTTTTAAGTACATCTCTTGTATAAGCAAACGTTTGTGGATAAATTACTAGTAGCAATCATATGAAATATACTGATTTTGAGCTGAAATCCATAAATACATAAGTTTTACTTATAACAGTCCATAATCTTGGTGAGATAAAGTCATATAACTAGTATGAAATCTTGTCCATAATTGCATGTATTTCCTTTTTGATTTACTCAAAAATGCTGGATTGTAATTATGAGAGTTGATAATTTCTCTTTGTTAATATTTCGAAGCGAAGGTTTTCAGTTTCACTTATTGTATATGCAACTTGAGCTGAAGGTCGCTACATAAGCATTCGTCAAAAGATTTTGAATATATAATTAATAGGTGAATCTAGGAAAATTATATTTATAAGTAAATCAGTATCCAATGAAATAGCTTACATATCTAACTTAAGATTACTGAAGTATTTAGATGATTGTGAAGGAAAATCGTGAATACATATTTATGATTATCAAATGATATATTAAATAATGTAATACATGATAAAATGAATTTACTAATTCTGTAATTGATAAAATAAGTAATTATCCTGTACACAGCGATCACCATGTCTTCAAATGTTTGTTATTCATTCAATGGTGATCTAACATTGATCGGTTTATGATTTCAAACAAACTCAGCAATCTCCACAACCTTATATACTGATAATCTTTTAAATGTATCTATTCAATATTTATCTAAACTGTCCAAAATAACAATCATCTTCTGATTAAAGTCATTCAGAGGAAGATACAACCAGAGAATATATATATATATATATATATATATATATATATATATAAATTTCGTATATGTTTACTGGTATATTCGAACCGAATAAAAATTTTCATTGTAGTCGAATATGAACCGGATAAATTTTGAAGCCGTATTGGATTGATCAGCTGTCTTATTCTGCTTTGGAAATCCGAGGTAATGAAGAGTCGAATGGCTTCAGAATTTAATGTTTCATATTTTACATTTAGCACCGTCGAATGTCATCAATATGTAATTTAGTCACTGTTGGTAATAGTCTAGTGATCACCTCTAACTTACTTTCAGATAAACTGACTAAGGTTTCCATAAGTAACGATAATTTTTAGAGCCAAAAATGTTAGTAGTGGGATAGTCATTCAGTTATGAGAATTGTATCACTTCACAAATCAAATAAATCTAAATCATAAATTAGTGTATCCTGATTTAATTGTTTGAAGATATGTTATCATTACAATTCCTCAAAATCCTTAGTAAAAACTTACTAAAGACCCAACAGAAATGGCTCTCTGCCTCAGGGTATAAATAGTTGTCAGATTAAGTAAATTTTCACAAACAACCTAACAGAGTAAACAAATCTTATTGATTTTCTGGATTCCATTGGAAAATATTTTAGATAGTAATTAATATCTTGTACGTGGCTTCTATACATGACCCCATATTCAGTTTAATATTACATCTTATCTTTGAAATGATCTACAAACCCAATGTTTACGTGTTTACTATCCACCTATTTTAGAGCATTCAAATTAATTAATTAATTAATTAATTAGTCATTTATTTACAAATTTTAAGATAAAATATATTCTGTCGAAGCTAATAAACTTTATTGTTCTTCGTAATCCATAATAAATGAAAAAAAAGTTCAAACCAATTGAGTAGATGAACTTTGAGAAATTATTCTTTACTATAAATTTAAAGATAGACTAGTTGTTGTTTCTGTAAGGTTGATAAAAGAATATGGCACTGTTGGATTAACTAGGCAGATCAATTTTATTCATAGAATTTATGATCCATATGTTAAAGTAAACAAAACACGTTAGTACATGAGCCTAATTGACATTAGAAAGGAGGGCAAATAATATTACTGAACAGATGATTGAATTGAATGACATTCTAATAAATTTTTTCTCTTAGTCTATTTTCATTATTTCAAGATAGTCAAATTAAAAAAATCGCAATCAGAGGTACATTTTCGGTTTTGTCACAGAATAATGAACCTATAATAGATCTTTAAAGACATTTCTTCTATTATCATTCAAATCTCACTGCAAACAAGAGTATATACAATATTTTTCATTTCTTTTGTATTCTAGATTATGGCATTTAATTATTTCTCACTCTTCATCATCTTGTTATCATCATAACTTCCAAAGTTTATTCATCATTTTGAATTCTAAGCAGACATTACATAGTCAATTGTTGCTATGTCCAATCATTAAAATAGGTTCGCTGATTAATACCCAGAGGTAATATGTAGTAAACACTATAATTGTATCTCATGTACCTTTTAGTCTAGTATTATTATTATTACATATTTTTTGGTCAAAATTAATGTGTTTTAGACACAAATTTTCCATAAAACCAATTTTACTAATTAAAAATTTTAAGAAAGACTATTAATTAACAAGTTAGACGATAATATATGATCAACACATGATTAATAACGATGTTAATTAATGAACTACGAACTCGAAAACAAATGTACAAAAAGTTATTCAGCAAAAAGAAATACAAAAAACTACCCACTTGGATTCCTTTTATCGATTTTTAGCCCAATTTTAAACGTGGACGAAGCAAACATCAAAATCTGTTTCAAATAGAAATAAACATGTGATGAAAAGATATTGAGATAAAACAATTTCATTTTAGTAAGATGTATTTCTGAAATTGTTTCCCAGATCAATAATTTAGTGTATGATTTTAATAAATCCAAATATACACTGTTGAAATACGATCCATGTTTAGGATAAATGTACAATATATTTCAACACTTATTTAATACTTATAATTCAGTTATTTTATGAAACGGATATTCAACTCCTTGATTTACACTTTTTATTACAAATGAATAATCTCAAAGTAAAAATTTATAATTATAGTATGTAAGTTATTTGCAAGATAATAAGTGGAAATTTGAAGAAATCCTTGTTTTATTCGATCGGTAAAATCTATTTGTAATGATATCGTACAGGTAGGGAAATGGTCGAGATGAATTTCACAATCCTGAGATTCTTCATTTTAATACTTGATTAAGCAAGATAAGTTTAGAGCTAAAAATTATGTGATATATTTTAGTCAGAATTACTATGATTAAGCTTTTATTTGTCTCAGTTTGCTAGCACTTATTAAAGACATATCTATACAACTTCAGGTCTTCAAATCTCAGGTGCTTATCTCTGAAAAACATTTAGAGATTCTTCACAAATCGGTCTTAGTTAGACTATCATCGAGAAACTTAGAAGCTCTAGCTGGCCATTTAATCCTAGTATAGGACTTTTTGGCAGTGAACATCATTGACTCCGTTTTTGGAAGTAAAACCCGGCACCTTCAGTCTTCAGCACAAACGCCTAACCTCTAGATCACCAAACCGGGGAGTCCAACGGTGTTGATATCTAACTTCAATCAATCCATTTCCTATCTCACACTGGACATTGGTTGAGGTCCACTGGTCGCAGTTTCCCACTAGTACGCCTAGAGTAAGATCTTGAAGCTAGACTTTTGTGAGCACATGATTGTTATTAATATATATTGGATTTATGGATGTCAACTGTCACTACAACATACCTTTGTGTAAATCCGAACGAATTCTAAACTGATACATTTTTCAAGAGTACAGACGACTAACTTTTGATGGAATAATTTAGAGATATGTTCTTCTATAATGAAATGCTGTATGGAAGAAATAGACTAAATAGTTTAAATAAATACCGTATTTTAAAAGTGTACAAATTTGCAGCTAACTAAAAGTTGTTAACATTTGTTAATGGTAAAACTGTCTTCAGTACAACTCAACAAATGATATGTAAACTTTATTTAAAGATTATTTTGTTTTTAAATATGTCATTTTATTTCTTACCCGATCAAATAAAGGTTTCATAATTGGCAATAAGATCACGAAATTCTCTTGAAATATACTATTGATTAAATTTGGCTGAAACTCTAGAAATCGTTGGCCTGCACTATGTATCATCAAATTTTTATCGATTAACAAATGAAATGGTATTAATTTGAAAAAGTTTGTCTTTGAAATTCTCCGAAACATATTCATTGAAGTTAATCCAGTCTTAGTCATACAGATCTCATTTTCGATAAAACTTTCACCAATGCATAGTTCTAGTGAAAATACAGTTCGATATATTGCACCTTCATGTGATTCTGAATTAATTCTGATAATTAAATGTAGCTGATAAAGGTGTTTGGCTACTTCAACTAATAATCCCCTTGTATAATGATTATAACCAGGTCTTTTTGTCGTATACTCTAACATTATACAACTTGATGTACTAGATAATATGACAAATGTCGGTGGTCTAATACGATGATAACTATAACGTAAATAATCATGATGATCATTTAAGCTTAATAATAAATCCTTAAATGTTTTACCAAATACACGAAGTAGTTTTTCAAAACCATTTTTAATTAAATATTGTATGGTATAACGTCCAATATCAAATAGAATTGTATCTTTATCTGTAAATAATAAATCACTCATTATTGTGGCCAGTGTTATCATCAAGTTATCATGATATATTTTTCTAGTTTGAATAACTAATTCTTCACCAGTCAACTTTTTAGATAACCATATCCATGTATTCTCACCAAAATTGTCTAAAATATAATGTTTAGCAGCTTCCAATAATATGCCATACATAATAACTAAATAATAACTGGTACTGAACAGAGGAAATCGGAAAGAAAACACTACCTATTTACAGTTTAGTTGGAGATATTTATTTACGACTGTTAAGCATTCCAATTGGTTTATTAAAATAAATAAGTTTCTCCTACTTAAGTAGATTTATAAGATGGATGTATTAACGTTAAAATAATTCTCAGTTATTTCGATGTATATCATTGATGGAAACTAAATGAAATTAATCAAAAATATGATAACCATGCAAACATGTAAAAATCGATAGTCTTGTGTACATTTTAAGTATGATTCAAATATCTTCTTATTAGTTAACTGGAACTAGATTACATTCCCTAATGATTATAGTATTCATTTTTAATACTACACTAAAATACTGTTTTGTGTAACGGATTCTTCCTGAAACTGACAATGGTTTATATAATTCATGCTGATATTGATTTGTTTTTAATGTCTACGGACTAAGATAATTTGACTATACTGACTATGAGATTGAAAAGTGAATCACCTCGTGAAAGCATTCGATTCTAAGGGCTAGTGTCGATTAATTTATAAGGCTAAAAGTATGAGTAAAGTTTAGGAATAATTAAATCAGTGCCTAGAAGACTATTTATGAATATTTACTGAAAGTAGCGGAGTGAAAAACGGCTGTAGAACAATGATTTCAACTAGTTTTTTGACTTGAACTGACTAACCTCTGCATAAATACGTAACTTTTATATTATATTAAAGTTCAAATTGAAAAAATCGTAAAAAGTACACCGAAAAGAAGTAATCCTAGCCCTGATTTTACCGTTATTTATCTTTTCTGCTCTAAATATATTTCATGTTAATGTAAACACATATTCGACAGTGTTCCTACTATCTGGATAAAAATGACCCACAGAGTAAATAAACACGTCTAAACATATTTTACGGCATTAGCCTTTGTAGTTTTATTGTTTGAAGGTTCCCCTTTGGTAATATTCCTGCATCAGTATAATTACCTTAATTGACTTATTACTTAGTAGGTAATCAATAATGATATGTGGTTTTATTCCCTAATTGCCTGTATTATGTATATGGAGAGTGTACAAAATTCTTGTTCCATTTCCGAGTAAATTACAACACTGATCATTTTAAGACACAGTTCTAAACAAATCAAATGCAACTCAGATGTAAAAGTATGGTCGTTTTGGTTGTAGAGCTTTCATTATTCTTCTGATAAACATCATCAGCGCGAAATTCAGATAGAAGTTTTTTATACCTATGCAACATGACTGACTAAACTTTATTACATTTAGTGGTTTCTGTACAATTGCCTTGCGTGTTTGTGTTTAAGAATACGTGCCTAAACAGAGCTAAGATTGTAACTAAATTATTAGCACTATTTCACATCACCTGTTTGACTACTTCACTATCAGAAATCGAACTACATGTTAATACAATAACAAAGATCTGCAGTGGGTACACAGTGATTAGCATATAAATGTCGCTTGTCAGTTAACAGGGTTGTTCACAATAGCTAGTTTATAAGACTTTGAAATTTAAACTTAAGCAATTCAAAAAATTTATTTTGAAACTGATCTGATTATTGGACTAGTCGACAGAAAAATTTCATTGTCTTCGAATAATAGCTGAATATAAGGTTAATTTTTATTAGCAGTATGATGTGTTTTAACTTATGTCTTAGAATAATAATTATAGTGAATAACATAGAATTCAATTTCAATACTTGTGCTTTGTTATTATAAACCTATACACTTTATTAAATACGAAGAACTAACATATGCAGTAAGCACAATGTCTTTGTTAATAAATATAAAACTATAATGATGATGAAGCTTGGTTAAATGATACAAATTACTGCATTTTACACAGGTAATATTTCTGACAGAACTAAACTATCTGATTATTGTATACATTTAACTGTTACTTATCATTAGATGTAGCTGACTTTTTGAGTTTTATTTGAAATAAGTATGATAAGAATTTTTACTTAAATTAAATTAAAACTACAGACCAATAAATAGATGAATAATGGAAGCTTTATAGACTTCAATGTTCTGAGTACTGATTTAAACATCATCTGTGAACAAAACCACCAATAAGAATAATATGCAATTCAGATAATTTGAAATAAACATCAAGAAATCACTGAAACCAATTAGTTGACTAGATTATTCACCCAAGTTTTGAACGTACGTTGTTTCTTTTATCCTTTATTTTTTAAATATCAATCCATTACAACAAAGTACTTCTTTGTCATTGTCATTTAAAATTACTGGCAGCGGTTTTAAATGTCATCAGTCGAATGAATCACATTTCCAACTGTTTATTTTAATGTTAGTTAGATAGTTTTATATTATTCTACTTAACATTTTGTTTACTCATTCAGCAAACAGTAGCATAAACATTGTTGCATAACAACTATACAGACTGTTTGTTTTTCTAAGCTATCTGTACACTTTTTTTCAAGATGGAGATTTGAATTTATTATTGATGTGTTGATGTAGAAGTGCACTACACGAAAAAGACAGATAATTTTGTTTAGAATAATAACAACTACCCCAAAGAGTAGTAACCACAAAGAGTAGTAAATCGAGGCGAGGTATATTTTTAACAGTCAGATATAATAACGATAGTAAACATTCATTTTCTGAAATTTATTTATATAAGATTTAATCGGCTTTAAAATCGGCGGCTTTAACTCAGTAAACACAATACAATAATGAACTATCATCAAATGAAATATGATAAAAGCCATCAAAGCAGCACAAACAGACCTTACTATAAATGCTACCACAACTACAATAGAAGAAATCTGCGTGGTTATCCGACAAATCCAGAGGGTTGGACGACATACCACCTGAAGCACTGGAAACAGATATAAAAGTAACTGGAAAGATGCCTCACTCTCTTCAGCAAGATTTAGGAGTAAGAACATGTTCCAACAGACTAGAAAGGACTTCTCCTCGAGATACCAAAGAAAGAAGATCTCAGCATGTGTGAGAACTATAGAAGAATCAGACTGATATCAGTACAAGGAAAATTCTCTAACTGCGTGTTGTTCAACAGAATGAAAGATTTAGTAGACGCCCAACTACCATATCAAATCGCGACACTACGGAACAATGGACTGAATGAAATTCACCACTCTACATCAACTTCACTGACTACCAGAAAGTATTTGACAGTGTGAACAGAATAACAATTTGGAGGCTTCTTCAACACTATGGTGTACCTGAAAAGATAATCAACATCATAAAGAATTCTTATGATGGATTAAACTGCAAGACCGTGTATGGAGGACAGCTCACACACTCAGTGCAAGTGAAGACTGGTGTCAGAAAAGATTGCTTACTCTTACTATTTCTCGTTCTACTGCTGGTTGATTATATTATGAAAACCTCAACATCTCAGGGGAAGCACGGAATACAGTAGACAGCTCCGATGTAGCTGGAAGGTCTGGATTTTATAGATGACCTGGTCCTTCTGTCCAACACACAACAATAAACATAAGAGACGACCAGTGTAGTAGCAACCACTGAAGCAGCTGGCTTCAACATACACAAGGGAAAAAGTAAGATCCTCCGATACAACACAACATGCACAAATCTAAACAGACTTGACGGAGAAGCGCCGAAAGATGTGCAAACTCTTACACACCTGGTCAGCGTCTATGATAAACGAGGTGGATCTGATGCATATGTAAATACACAGATTCGAAAAGCAAAGGCATCATTTCTATAACTGAAGAACATTTGGAACTCAAAACAGCTTTCAACCAACACCAGTCAGAATTTCCAATATGAACCTCAAAATTATTCTATTGTAAGGAGCGGAAACTTCGAGAACTTTAAAGTCCATTATCCAAAAGATACATATATTTATAAGTAATTGTCTACGCACGATACTCCGGATCCGTTGGTCTGATAGCATCAGCAACAAGCTACTGTGGCACAGAACAAACCGGAAGAAATTAAAAAAACGCGCCGTAAACACACAGGACAAACATTAAGGAAATCAGCGAATTTCATCACAAAGGCAAGCCCTAGCTTGTAATACTCTAGACTAAGAGAAAATAGGAAGATCAAAGAACACATTACACAGAGAATAGGAGGTAGTCATGGAAAAACTGAAGAGAACTTGGGAACAACTAGAAAGGAAAGTCTAACACAGAGTTGGTTAGAGAATTGTGACCGGCCAACTATGCTCCACGAGTGGTGACAGCTCAATTAAGTAAGACATATGATAAGGTAGGAAACATAACTCAACTTTTACTAATCTGAATAAATTAATTTTACTGTTTTATGACAAGATATTTTTATGATCAAATTAAGAAATGAAGTGGTCTTTTCAGATCCTATATCTCAATCAAATAAATTATGTGAACATTTATTCTGTTTTGAGAAATCAACTAATAACATATTTTTATTGTATGTACAAGAAAGAAAGGTGGAGTTTATTTCGTTTTGTTATCTTATTTGTTAAATATGCAATTAAAGAATATGATTGAAAAATAATGTCTTCCATTGAATTTGCATTATTTCGAAACCATTTTAATGAAAAGAAAGTTTCATGATAAACAATCTCAAGAAATGCTTCATAATGAAAGAAATCGTAGGAATGAAACATCATAATAAACAAATATTATCTTGGTAGAAAATAAAGAACAGAAAGAAATAAGTCATATATGTATTCAGAATCTTTATCTAAGTTATAATAAGCTATAAAATATAAAATAGTTAATATAATTCGATAGCTATGAAATTATAAGTTTGGCAAAAAAAACAAATAAATAATATTTTTATAAACCTAATCATTGAAAGTGTAGTTCTATTCGTTTGAATATTGTCATTTCATGTTAATTCTGAATAAAATATGGAATAAATAAAAAGGCACGTCTTAATAGAAGTAAACAAGAAAAGAGTGATTATCTGATGTTTTGTGGTTTCTGATGAAAACAACTAAAATCTGCTGTTTAATTTAAATGATACTAATTAAGAAATAGGAATAAAAATGAAATATATCAATTAACTCCTGATAATTATTAGCTAATTTATCATTTCAATTATTAATATTTACTTGATATTATGAAAAATCATTGATCAGATAATGGATCATGAATGTTTTTTTCGAATTTCCATTTTGAAGGATTACTAAAAGGTTCAATGTTTCAATATTAAGTTAATATGGTCAAGGTTTAATAAGAAGTAGGTTTGCTAGGTAAAATAATTAGAAACTGGTTTACATGCGACGATTTAATTACGATTGTGATTCAAAAGACGACAAGCATATTTGGCCAGAAAAAATAACCAATTCGAATGAACGAATTAATTGGATTCATGCTTTGATTTAACTTATTCCTTTTAATCGGTATTCACCATATTTTTCTGATCATATTTATTTGAACTTCGAGGGAATAAAACTCATCAGCGTTTCAATATTAGTCATCTACGGTTTACATTGTTGTGTTGGTGTATTGTAAAAAGCAGTGATTTTAAATTGTTTTGAATTGACTTTTGTGTTATGTATTCCCACTTCAAATATTTCAGTTGAAGTTTAGACTTTGGATAGATTTTGTTGTCGAATTGTACTTTTCGATATTCCTGTGACATGCTAGGATCTCGGGTGTATTTTTGTCGTTTTATTTTGGAATGTTGTTGTTGTGACTTAAAAGAGACGGAAAACGTCGATCTCAAAAGCGACATGCCAATGATGTAAATCATTTAGTGATATTTGTGCTGAGTGGTCATAAACTTTATGCGTTAATACCCGTGAATTGATCATACTTGTAAAGAATGTGTGTGTATCAGATAAAATATAATGTTATGCTGTCCGTACAAAGAGTAAGCTTTTGACAAACGGATAGTCTATGAAAAGACACTATTGAGGCCTCAGTCCCCTTTTTTGTTTGCTTGAAATACAAAAACTCTAACAAACTTGGTTATTGAACAAATAAACAGTACTTACTTCATGTTGCAGTTTAAAGCTTCATGTTTAGAATTTTAAGTAAGGTACCTTCAACTACGATTGTTTATGATAGAATCGATAGTTTCGGGACAAATGTGATATTTATCAATCATTTAAGGTAAGCTATCGAGAAAAATACAATGACGAAATTTACTTACAGCCTTTCCTACATATTTTCCATTTGACTCCGAAATTTGAAAGCATTCTTCGAAGTTATCTTCATTCACAAGTAATGGGTAGAAAGCTTTTCAATGACTTTTTTCGCATCTTAGTATCGTTTATCAAGAATTATTTATCATTTTAATAAAATTAAACAATTCCTCTCATCCAAAATTCATCATTCCACTCCAAGATCAGTTGTTTCCAGGCCAACAACATGCCATTTTGGTAAGTGATGTCATCTTCCTAACTAAAATCTAGTTCTGTTGGCTAACCACTAATCAATAGTATACTTTCTGACACTGAAAAATCTCAGTATAATAGATAAAAGACATTTTGTTCAGTAGAGCAACTGAAATACTGTTTTAAGCACTGTGTGCCTAAATAGCTGTGCTTGATTCAAAACTACAGAAAACCGAACATTATTTATCATAATAGTACAATAAGAATTAAAACCTCAGGATGTTTTCTAAATTTTATTTGTGAGTGCTAATAATGGGGAACTCAACCCAATAATTCTTAATATTTAATACCGAGTAGTGTACGTGTTTCTGTAGAAGCAACATTAAATCCATGACAATAACACCTTGTTATGATGTAAATTATTTACAGCTTATAAATATTTTGATATCCGATAACATTTTTTTATCTTTTAGACAGCTCAGACTTTTTGACATTAATCCGATCAATGAAATAACACAGACTGAAACAAATTAGACCATTGAAGTAGAACGTTATCACGAATCACATAAACTGGTTACGAAATAAACTAAACAACTTCACTTAAGCATATTGAACAGAAAATGAATATGTTGTCTGAGATCCTAAAGGAAACAATTTAGGAATTCAGCTATCTCTCGATCTTGCAAGTGGTTGAGATACACTCAAAGTTTATTATTCTGTATCATTCCCAGGATAGTCAAAGCTAGATGTAATCTCAATCTTTTCTCATCAAACTAAAAACCTAAGTTAATATAACGATGATTTTAATTCTAGACTTCCGAAAGGCATATGATTAGAAACACGTATTGGCAACATTTCGAAACAACAATGATTCGGTAAGCTGACGATAAAAAACCAGCGATCATTGATTATAAAATTAATTCTGTGGATGGTTTCGCTTGATAATTTAAGCGAAAAAAAAACAATACAGACAACCTTGGTAAAATTTAACCTTGGAATTCAAACATGTGATATTGATATTTCGTTTCGTCAAGAAATATAATTTTTTGTAGTTCATTAAATCAGACAACTCTGCAATATGGTCGAGGAAAAGTATTACAGTTTCTTCATAATTATTTCGCAAACGGGTGATAATTTTTGTTTAAACTGTGGAGTTGTCAACATTGAAACCCTCTTTTTAATATAAGTAAAAATTAAAACAAATTCTGTTGTAACGGAGAATATTCAACATTAATGGCGTTTAAATCGAAAATATTATTAATGCCGATGGTCAAACATTTTTACCGTCATTATATATTTCTTTACACAGTGATACTAAAATATGTCCCAAAATAAAATCAACAGAGTGAAGCATTTCTTTTCAATTAATTCTTTATGTACTTGTTACCTTTTTCATATACGTGTCGGTTCTGTTATACCCGCGGTATTACTGTTGATACTTGATAAACGGGAACTACTGTGATTACAACGGAGCAAAATGCGAGCACAACGAATGATGTGGTGAAGGTTTACCACACCTTCCGAAATACGATCACTAAACAAGACGCCCAAAATAACACTGTATACTCCTGACGATTAGTTAATTAACATTAAGTGGGAGGATAGACGGGGTTGTTACAAAGCATACACGAAGTTCACACGGAACAATACAATATACAATGTAATATAATCATCATACTGAACGAAATTCATACTTACGAGGTTCAAACATTTTAATATGAAATAACGTTATACTGCAAAATATGAGGTCACAAAATGTTACATTGAGTCGGATAAAATGTGAACTCTCCCTCTTATTTAAACTTATGATCAAGGCTCTATGTTAATATACATAATTTTTAAACTAAGTATAAAATCAACACAAGAGAAATGATGGTAGGATCAATAGGAATATTGAATAAGACTGTTTTAATATGAAATTATTGATTTGGTTTTGAACCAAACTGCTTGTTTGTTGAATGCTCATAATTAACACGAAGTGTCTTTTCAGGCTGATTAGGATTGGAATTTATCACATTTCAGTTGAGATTACATAGATTTAACTAAAAATACTATCGATCATCTTTTATAATTCCGCATAAATATTACAAGAACGTTTTTTTCCTACAGTATGATAATAACTGGAAAGAACTAGAAAGGGATGTCCAGGACAGAGTTGGCTGAAGAAAACTGGTGGGCGGCCTATGCTCCATTGGGGGTAACAGGCGTAAGTAAGTAAGTAAATAAGCAATGATAATAGTTCACTACACAATATCAGCCAAAAAAAAAGTATCAATAATAAAAAGAAATATTATGAAAAGTAATTGCTTTATGTAATTTTATTTGTAATTTGGTCATCACTATGATTATTTACAATGTTTTGTTTTATCCAATCAGTATAATCAAATTGTATTCCGAGACTAGTTAAAGTATTCGAAAAATAATTCGGTAATTCAAATGAATTACATGTTAAAAAGTAATAATTGACTGGACAATTATTAGGATTGGTATTATTATTGTCACTTGTTGTGGTTGTTGTTGTTGTTGTAGTTGTTGTTGTTTTAGCATTATTCGCCTTCCATTTAACACAAGATAATGACAATGAACTAGGCTTTGATGATGTATTACAAGATTGTACTAATGAAAAATTTCCACGTTTCGATTTAAACAAATGTGAAGGTTTTTTAACATATGATTTGATACACAAATTGGATGAATTCAAATAGAATGGAATAGGTAAATATAATTGGGAACGATGAATATGAACTGGTATATCATCTAAATTATTATTATTATTATTATTATTATTATTATTATTATTGATTTGATTAAGAATTTGACGTTGTTTGGTAGGTAGGGTATAGTTTAAACGAATTTTATCAGGTGGTAAAATAATAGGTGATATTCCAGTATCGATAAGACGTGAAGCCTAAATAAAAGAAAGATATCAATAGAAAAAAAAAAGAAGAAGAAATGATTATTTTCATTCGAAAACACAAAATTTATATAAGGATTCCAAATTTTTTCTAGAAATATAGATCAAATTAATTGAGACACTATTCAAATAGTTTTTTTATATATTTGAGATATGTTCATAGAAATAGCAAGACTTTATTTACTTAAAAAAAATAAGCGATAAAAGAGTGAATTAATAATTTTAAAAAAGGAAATTTTTAATTTTAATAAAATAATAATGCCTTTTAAATAAAAGTTATATATCTCTAGTATATAGCTGTATGGATCGGAAACTTGGAGAACGACGAAAGCCATCATCCACAAGATACAAGTGTTTATGAACAGTTGTCTACGCAAGATACTCCGGCTGCCTAAGCTCCATTAGAGATAACAGGCATAAGTAAGTACATGGCTTTTAGACAAACAAATGAACTCTAGTATGATCTTCTTGCTGTGTTTTGTAACCATAAAGAATAGAGTCCGTATCCTACAGATAAAAATATGTTACTACTACAGGATAAGTCTACGCTGTAGCCTAGTTTATCAATTTAAGATAACGCAGTAAAATAAGTCGATTGCCTCACCTATCTTAGCAATCCAATTGACTAGGATAGATAAGAAGTCTATGGATTTTGGTGTATTGTAGAGGTGTATAAGGTAAGATCTGTTTCCATCTATTGAACCACAAATTTACTATATAACATTCAGCTCGATATTAATTTGTTCCTGGGAAACACGACCTCTAGAAGTAGAGGATGTGTAAGTTTTAAATAATTGATTATGTCTAGGCGAAATACTTCGGATCCGTTGGCCAGACACTATCAGTAACAACCTACTGTGGGAGAGAACAAACCAGATCCCAGTGGAGCAGGGAATTAAGAAGAAGCGCTGGAAGTGGATAGGATACACAATGCGGAAAGCACCTAACTTGGAACCCTCAAGGTCAAAGGGAAAGAGGAAGGCCAAGGAACACATTACGCAGAGAAATAGGGAAAGACAAGGAAAATGAATAAGAATTAGAAAGAACTGGAAAGGGAAGCCCAGGACAGAGTTGGTTGAAGAAAATTGGTCGGCGGCGGTGGAGGTAATAGGCGTAATACAATAATATATATAAAATAAACATTGATTTCACATTTTACATTATTTGAATGTTTTCAAAATTAAAAAAATCATTTACGTAGTAATTTAGCAGACCCAATTAATCACTAATCATTAACCATAACTCTTTAGGGAGATGGAAAATTCAAAACGGGATAAAATAATTTATTATTATGATAGTTTATTGATTGAAAAAGATTCACCAACAAACATAAGAAAAATTATTACTAAAGTGTACTTCAATTGATAGTTTTGTTGTAGATTCCGAACAAAAGTATTGTTCCTGAATACATCAAACTTCTACTTGTACTTCTATATAAACTTTCTAAATATGATCATTTCTTATCTTTTTTATGAAGTATGATATCTGGAAGTGGTAAATATTTGTAGCGCATTCATAAATGATAGAGATATAAAAATGGAAATACAGTTGTAAGAATAAACAGCATACAGTTAGCTAGTCAAGTGCTAATTCACTATTAGATTGCATCATCTTAGTAAAAATGTAGTTAAAATAATATGGTATCGAAGAATAGTGTCAGGCGAAATTAAATATCTAAAATTAAACTGATGGTTAACTTAAATGTATTTGCGAATTTTAGTTAACCCAGAGGATGTCCACAAATCGGCTAGTTACGGAGTATCAATTGAATTCTATCGACCAAGCTGCAATGTGGCAACCAGTTTGAGTGAATCGACGTTGAGTGAATTGTATTTTGACGGAAGGTGCTTGGAGACAGTTAGCAACTGACACTAAACATGGGTTTCGTGTTAGTTGACACTAATCAGCAAGGCAAATCTAGGGAGTTCAAAGAAATTATTCTATCCATAGGATTTGAAACCGAATCTGCAAGCAACTTCTGAACAGAAAAACAAGTGACCTTGTAAGATAGTCGCTTTGTTTCTTTTAATTCGTTTTTTCTTAAAGTTTAGTCAATCGAAAGATGAATAAAAGCTAAAAGGATTGAATAATAACTACAGAAATCACAGTAATTTATTAAATATTCCTTCGAAAACACAAACATATGCCTTTAGGCTTACTTGAAATGTTTCTCCAACAACAGAACAGCCTTCGTATAACAAGTAAACTTCGGGTAAGCCACGATAAAGACTGTTTGTTTCAAGTTTGACAAGACTCGATTTATTAGAACCTTCAGAAAGAACTGTATGGTGAACAGATTTTTCTAGAATGACACCTTTTAATTTTAAAGCTCTAGAAGTTTCATTTGGAGATGGTCTGAAAATGTTGGAAACATTTAAAAGTAAGAAAAATGAAAAACTGTTTATATGATTGAATACTGATGAACTTACAACTTACTAATCTGACGAATGAGAAGTTGAACATGAAAAGAAATAATTATACTTGAGTTAGTAGATAAGCGCATATATATATATATATATATATAATCCGTTCCTTTATATCCGCATCAGATCCTACTTGTGTACCAAGTATAAAAAAATCGCCATTTCCTTCAGAGCACCGCTTTCAAGTGTGATTCGGTTGTTGCTCGCCGTGCTATATTTCAGGATTTTTTTTCCCTAGGAAATGTTAAGGCATACTGCTTTTCTGACTGTCTTCACTTGCACTATTGCTGTGTATGGGATAGAAGAATTACTCCAGCTTAAAAGTTCAAATCTTCTAGCTTCATTCCAATTGTTCACCGTATTTTGAACTTCCCCTCAGACGTGAGATTTTTCATAATCCAAACAATAACTGTTAGAAACAAAACGCGTGATTACAGTTGGTCTTGTTTGATACTAGTCTTTACTTGGAATGTGTCCGTGAGTAGCCCTACATACACAACTTTTAATTTCAGTCGGTCGTAAGAGTTCCGCACAATAGTGACGATTTACTCCTCGGTTCCACTAGGTTCGCCTAACCACTCTCTCAAAATCTTTCTTATAACCAAGGCAGTTAATGTATAGTTCATTGGAGCTGGTTTGTCTATAAATTCTTAAAAGTGTCCCGTCCACTTGCCGGCTGTTAATGAACCTTGATTTACTTTCTTTGTTCTTGAGTGAGCGCTCTAATTAACAGTATTTGCATGTTAGCTTCTTCTAATATTTCCTTCTCTCGCATCTGATTCCGCTGTTATCACTAGGTCTTAAACATATTTCCGCTGATCAGCTTTAAAGTTCCTACTCGCTCGTTTGTTAGTTTCTGGATATTCAGCCTTTGCCTTGACTTTCTTTTTTCTTGTTCGGTTGTTGTTGACTGCTGTCTCCTTGTCTTTCCTTTCTTGAGAATGTTGTCCAGGGTGTCCATATACATTCACTATATATGTTGGTGATTCGTGGGGCCTAGAATCTTCGAGTGTGTTGAATTTATCGGCTCGTTAGTTATTTTTTCAGTTTTTTGCATACTGCGTTTTACTACTTCACGTAGATTTTCTAAGGCATAAATCTTGTTGTTGAGAAGTACCCTCAATTTGCTGAACAATTAAGCTTCTCCAAGGAAGTTTATAGTAAGCCTTTGTAATGCTATTACTCCAGTTGTTTAGTGCTCGTGTCTAATGATTCTCACTTAACGTAGAGTAAGGTTGCGTCTTCCCATTTCTGCAGCTATCTGAAAGGTCGTCCTTGTCTCCGACATTGTCCAGACACTCTACCCTTATTAATTGTTGCTCTGGTTGTCAACAGATACATCGGCATACTGACTTCCGAAGAATCTCGGCTTTCATCATGAGAAGTCATAACTATTCTGTGTGAAGATCCTTCAACTCCCAGGACAAAGTTTAAATGAATAAATTTTTTTCTAGTTGGTCTTTTAGGACGGTTTTTTTACGGAACGGAGGTTGCTGATCTCACACTCAACTCCTGTCCATTATACAGGCTAGAAATCAACAGTAACCCTAGAAGGGTTTCAAGTGAAGTTATCTCATTTGCTGTCTTTAACAATAAATTTTAGATCATAGTTCCACACATTTTTATATCCTACCTATGTGTAGTACATTGGAAAAATGAAAGTATATCAAAACACTAAACTCTGTGAAAACTTCTACGAACAACATTAAATAAATTCAATTTATTTTCAGCATGTTTATTCATTATTTGCAAAACTGATCAAGCAATCTCAACACAATTATTAAGTGAACTAACAATTAATTATTTTCTCGCATGTCATCAAATATGTGTTAATTTATAAATCAGGCTTTCATAATACAAAGAAGAGGAAGATATTAAATTCACGTATCATATGAAAGTTTGTGATAAGTGTCATGAGAAATATGAGAGAGGAAAGTAGGTTAATGGTTATCTTGATACCTTGAGAGCTTGACTGCAAAAGTCGAAGTATACTTGTTTGAAGCTGGTTATATGCGAACGTTATGAAAGAGGTTTTTGATGTGTTAGATTTGTAAATGTAAAACTTTACTGCCAGAGACAACAAAACGACTGTTATTTTTAGATCCAATCTTTTCTAACCTTCACCCTCCATCGGGGAAAGGTAACATCTCTGGGAATGCCAGTAATTTGAGCGAAACATCTTTCCTCATTGCCATCAGAAGTACGACTTGACCCTTGGAACTCTTAGTCAATCATGATGGAGGAATACAAGCCCAACCACCACATCAAAGTAAAAGTTTATCAAAATGATCGACTCAAACGGTACGTAAAATATAAGTTTCGGTTAAAACCTAAATGACTGAATCAGTTAATCAAAGACCTTAAAAATTGCATGTTATAGTCATTTGGTGTGTAGCTAATTTGCAGGTAAATTTATCTTGATATTTCTTACTTCGATCACAAATTAAAAATGAGATGGTGAAGTGGTAAACAAGTCTAAAATTACAACTACAGAGCTGCAAGTGTACTGCTGAACTTACAAGTCTTATAGTTTAATTTAAAACACCAAGCTTTAGTCAAACTTACGACATACAGATAATTAGAAGTTTTACAGGAAAAAACAGACAAAAGTACATTACATGTGAAGGTATATGTATTTTGAAAAATCGGTTATGTAGCCGAAGAAAACACCTTTACAATCATACAAACATTTCAGACAACCATAGACATAAATAAAATGTGCAATAAAAACAATTTAGTTGTACAGACATATGTCTCAAAGACTGGTCGTTTTTTATGCGCTAATCAATCTGCTTAAATATGCTAAAAACAAAGCACGAAGTGTACTGTAAACTAGAAAAAAAACAATTTATTTAACAAAGACTTGTGGATCGTTGTAAATTCTCGTTTAATACTTTCTACAACATATTCATACTGTCGAATTAAAGGTGAATAGACCCACACATTAAAGCAGGTCATCAACTGTAAGCTTTGAGCTAATCACAATTGTGTGAATTTATTTAAATGTAATAATCTTCAAACCCTTAAACATTTTACGGCTCTTTATTCGTTTATCCTTTTCTTATTCTAGTCTTCCCGATTTTGTTGATTTTCTCTCTTCATGGTATCATAAAGTGCTTTATCCTGAATAGATGAACCTTAAATCGTTTCTTACGTAGTTGTTCTTGGTAGGATAAATCACTCAGTCATTGGTATATATTCATGAATAACATTGTCGCCTAAAGCTGAGTTCAAATGCGAATTTAATGGAAACGTATTTCTAATCGAAGAGTTTGGTGAAGAAACTGACAAAATGCAGTCTTCTAACCACATTAAACAGAAATGCAAGCATGTTTGAAATGCGATTTAGCCCCACCAAATGCAAAATGTTGTTTCAGGATTGGCTTGCATCGGCTCCTTAAGAAGTGAAGTAGTCGAGTGTGTCAACCGCTCCACATATCTTAGGAGTCTAATCGGTTCTGATGGCCTGCCGTCTGACGAAATCTCGGCCCGGATGCCAAAGGCTCGACTGGCTTTTATCAACTCCCGTCACTTATGGTGTAAGAGAGATATCTGTCTGTTAACCAAAGGATGAGTTTACTGTGCAGCAAGTCGCTTCATTCTACTGTACATGTGTGAAACAAGGCCACTAAGAATAGAGGATATTTGTACGTTACTAGTATTCGATCACAGGTATCATTGAAGCATAGCTCGTATAACCCTGACTATGAGAAAGCAGTTGATAGTGTGGACAGAATGACACTTAGGAGGCTTCTTCGACACTATAATGTGCATAAGAAGATAGTTAACATGATACGGAATTCTTACGAAGGACTACACTGCAAGATCGTGTATGGAGGATAACTCACAAACTCACTCCAAATGAGGACCGGTGTCAAACTAAATTGCATACTCACACCCTTTTTCTTTAACTCCGCCAGTAGAACCTTCGGGGCTACTGCCGGTCCCAAGCCCGGGTAAAGGAGGAGGGTTGGACATGGGGTTGGCGACCCCATTCCGTCAAAAACTAACTTGCCAAAAAAACGCTAACCAGAAAAAATAATTCAAACCATTTTAACTCTGCCCTGGGAGTTGGAGGAAGAATTATGACGTCGCGTGATGAAAGCCGAGTTCCCTCGGAAATCACGGGGCTGATGCCTCTTCTGACAACCAGAGCAACCATTTTTTTAGGTACATGGAACGTTCGTACATTGTGGGAGACTGGAAGACTATTTCAAGTTGCGGCAGAAATGAGAAGATACAACCTCGAGGTGCTTGGAATCAGTGAAACACATTGGACACAAGTAGGACAACTGAGACTAGCTTCAGGGGAACTGCTGTTATACTCTGGGCATGAAGAGGAAAATGCTTCACATACACAAGGAGTTGCATTGATGCTGTCCAAACATGCACAAAAGGCACTAATAGGATGGGAATCTCATGGACCCAGGATCATTAAAGCATCCTTCAAAACAAACAAAGAGGACATTACAATGAACGTCATCCAATGTTATGCACCTACCAACGACTACAATGACGACGACAAAGATCAATTCTACGAAAGGCTGCAGTCAATCGTCGAGAAATGTTCACCAAAGGATTTGACGATTCTTATGGGAGACCTGAATGCCAAGGTTGGAATGGACAACACTGGATATGAAGACATCATGGGACGACATGGACTGAGAGAAAGAAACGAAAACGGTGAGAGATTTGTAAACCTATGTGCCTTCAACAAACTGGTCATCGGTGGCACAATATTCCCGCACAAACGCATTCACAAAGCCACATGGATTTCACCGGACCACACTACTCAAAACCAGATTGATCATATTTGTATCAACAAAACGTTCAGAAGGACTATGGAGGATGTGAGAACCAGGAGAGGAGCTGATGTAGCCTCAGATCACCATTTGCTAATCGCCAAAATGAAACTGAAACTAAAGAAGCACTGGACAACGGGACAGACAACATCACACAAGTTTAATACGGCCTTTCTTCGGGATACTGTAAAGCTCAACGAATTCAAGATAGCCCTCACCAATAGGTTCCAGGCCTTTCAGGATCTACACAATGGAGAGGAAACAACATTGGAGAACAATTGGAAAGGGATTAAGGAGGCAATCACTTCAACATGTCAGGAGGTCCTTGGTCGCAAGAAGCAGCATCATAAGGAATGGATCTCTGTTGATACTCTCGCAAAAATTGAAGAAAGGAGGAACAAGAAAGCAGCAATCAATGTCAGCCGAACAAGAGCGGAGAAAGTTACCGCACAAGCTGCATACACAGAAGCAAACAGGGAAGTGAAGAAGAGCATCAGAGCTGACAAACGAAAATACGTGGAAGATCTAGCAACGACGGCGGAAAAGGCTGCAAGAGACGGAAACTCGAGACAATTGTATGAAACTACAAAGAAGCTCGCCGGGAACTATCGTAAACCAGAACGACCAGTGAAAAACAAGGAAGGCAAAGTAATCAGCAACACTGAGCAACAGAGAAATAGGTGGGTAGAGCACTTTAAGGAACTCCTAAATCGACCAGCTCCTCTGAAGACACCCAACATCGAAGCAGCATCCACGGACCTCCCAATTAATATTGGCGCACCTACGATTGAGGAGATCAGTATGGCCATCAGACAAATCAAGAACGGCAAAGCAGCAGGACCAGACAACATTCCAGCAGAGGCAATGAAAGCAGATGTAGAAGCAACCGCGAAAATATTTCACATCCTCTTCAAGAAGATTTGGGATGAGGAACAAGTACCATCAGACTGGAAGGAAGGATACCTGATCAAAATACCAAAGAAAGGCGACCTCAGCAAGTGTGAGAACTACAGAGGCATCACTCTTCTTTCAATACCAGGCAAAGTCTTCAACAGGGTATTGTTAAACAGAATGAAGGACTTCGTAGACGCCCAACTTCGAGATCAACAGGCCGGATTTCGGAAGGATCGATCGTGTACTGACCAAATTGCAACATTACGGATCATTGTGGAACAATCAATTGAATGGAACTCACCACTCTACATCAACTTCATCGACTACGAGAAAGCATTCGATAGCGTGGACAGGAAAACACTGTGGACTCTTCTTCGACACTACGGGGTGCCTGAGAAAATAGTTAACATCATACGGAACTCTTATGATGGATTCAACTGCAAAATCGTGCACGGAGGACAGCTAACAGACTCTTTCGAGGTAAAGACCGGTGTCAGGCAAGGTTGCCTACTTTCACCCTTTCTCTTTCTCCTGGTGATCGACTGGATTATGAAAACGTCAACATCTGGAGGGAAGCACGGTATCAACTGGACAGTTAGGACGCAGCTGGACGATCTGGACTTCGCAGATGATCTGGCTCTTCTATCGCACACTCAACAACAAATGCAAGAGAAGACGACGAGTGTAGCAGCAGCCTCTGCAGCAGTAGGTCTCAACATACATAAAGGAAAGAGCAAAATTCTCCGATGCAACACAACATGCACCAATCAAATCACTCTTGATGGAGATGCCTTGGAGGACGTTAACACCTTTACATATCTGGGCAGCATCATCGACAATCAAGGTGGATCGGATGCAGATGTGAGGGCACGGATTGGCAAAGCAAGGGCTGCATTTCTACAGTTGAAAAATATCTGGAACTCCAAACAGATATCAATCAACACCAAAATAAGGATTTTCAATACAAATGTCAAGACAGTTCTAATGTATGGAGCGGAAACATGGAGAACTACCAAAGCCATCATCCAGAGGATACAAGTGTTTATTAACAGCTGTCTACGTAAAATACTTCGTATTCGTTGGCCAGACACCATCAGCAACAACGAACTGTGGGAGAGAACAAGTCAGATTCCAGTGGAAGAGGAAATCAGGAAGAAGCGGTGGAAGTGGATAGGACACACTCTACGAAAAGCACCTAACTGTGTCACGAGACAAGCCCTCACATGGAACCCTCAAGGCAAAAGGAAAAGAGGAAGGCCAAAGAATACATTACGCCGTGAAATAGAGAAAGATATGAGAGGAATGAACAAACATTGGACAGAACTGGAGGAAGAAGCCCAGGACAGAGTTGGTTGGAGAAAACTGGTGGGCGGCCTATGCTCCATTTGGGGTAACAGGCGAAAGTAAGTAAGTAAGTAACCCTTTTTCTTTATCCTCATGGTTGAATGGATTACGAAGATGCCAACATCTGGAGGGAAGCAACGTATACAGTGGACAGCTCGGATGCACCTGGACGATCTGGAATTCGCAGACGATGTAGCCATTCTATTTCATACACAATAACAAATGCAGGAGATGGCCAGTGTGGCAGCACACTCTGTAGCAATAGGTCCCCACATATATAGGGTAAAAAGCAAGATCCTCCATTACAATACAACATGCACAAACCAAATCACAATTGAAGTAGTAGCTTTGGAATATGTAAACACCTTGACATATCTGAACAGCATCATTGATGAACAAAGTGGATTTGATGCAGATGTGAAGGCGCGGGTCGGAAAAGCAATGGCAGCATCCCTACTATCGAAGAATATCTAGAATTCAAAACAGCTATCAAAAAACACCAAAGTCAGAATTTTCATTACAAATGTCAAGACAATGCTACTGTATGGAGCGGAAACCTGGAGAACTACGAAAGCCACCATCCAGAAGATACAAGTGTTTTTCAACAGTTGTCTACGCGAAATACTTCGGATTCGTTGTCCAGACACTATCAGCAACAACCTCCTGTGGGAGGGAACAGACCAAATTTCAGCTAAAGAAGAACAAGTGCTGGAAGTGGACAGGACACATATTGCGGAAACCGCCCAACTACGTCACCAGATAAGTCGTGATTTGGAACCCTCAAGGCCAAAGGAAAAAAGGAACTTCGAAGGACACATTACGCAGAAAATTGGAAGCAGACATTAAAAAGATGAGCAGCAATTGGGTAGAACTGGAAAAGAAAACCCAGAACAGAGTTGGTTGGAGAATGCTGGTCTACAGACTATGCTCCATTGAGAGTAACAGGAGTAAGTAAGTTTAATAATAAAATAGTTGTGCGTGACCAAACGCAAACAATTTTCTCATGAACTCTGTAGTCACACTCTCAGGTTATCAAAATCACTGCTAATTCAACTTCCTTTTCAGATATTTCAAATTTTTTTACAAAAAAATGAAATTGAGATAGTTTGTTCTTCAAATGAAAATTAAATTTAGTTAGTAATATGAAGTCGATGTTTAATTATGTGTCATAATAAACTAGAGAGCAGTGAATAGCTGTGGTATCCTAGTACGTGATTCATCATGAATATGTACTCACAGATACTTTATACAAATGAAACTGACCTATACAAAACAATAGTAAAAACTAATAATAATCTCACCTATAACCGACATGCAGATGATCATTCAGTGCGTAAGAAGCAATCGGAAATGATACTGGTGTTGAATGCAACAGTTGTGGCTTACCCCAACAAACAATTAAAAGTTTCTGATATAATTCCCAAGGCGTCTATTTCGTTAGAAACATTAAGAAAGAAAAAGGAAATTTGGGATTTGAAAAAAAAAAATTATGTAGGTAGGATAGGACTAGAAAATAAACAATATGCTAAATTAACTTTATATTAAACTAAATGTTCATTTAAGTATGGTTTAGAATATGATTAACCAGACTTTCTTATTTGTTGACGTTTCTAGTGAATCAATAAAATTTGAAATTTCATAGATTCTAAACACTACGAACTGATCTTTGTTAGATCATTATTAAGATTCTGGAAGCATTAGATGACTGTATGGTCCTAGTATGGGGATTTGTATATTTTATGTCAGACATCTACTCACCAAAAGTAGTGGAATATGGTTGCGCAATATTTTCAATTGATTGGAGTCAGATATTAACACTGTTGGATGCCAACTCAATGGTCAGGAGGTTAAAATTTCGCGCGCAAGACCAAAGATACTGTATTCTTCTCCAAAATACGGAGTCATGTATCTGCAGTGCTAAGTCGCACAATAGGATTAGAAGGCCATTGAGAACTGTTAAGTTTCTAATAGTGGTCTAAATGGAATCATTGTTTGATTGAAAAACTTAAATTGCCACATATCTGCAACACGTTAAGGGCATGATAAGTTAATGAATGTTATTTATAAATGAGAAGATACACAAACGTTTGGTTGACAGATTTTCACAGATTATGTAATTTTGGATCACAAAATGATTTTATCCGCGGAATTACTGAAATTACGGAGGTCTAGATAGCTGTTTCGAGGTTAATGGCTCAAATCCTTAGGAAAAGTTATGTCTAGTAGGGTCTAACTATGCCCATACCGAGACAGTTGCCAACTAATGGGTCCTTAATGCTGTCTCGGTGTTTAGTGAATTTATTGAAGCTGGAAATGTAAACTATAGAAGGTCAACTCAACTCAGTCCATAGGAGTTCTAGATTCGAACCCCAGAGGTGTCAGTGTACATTATTAAGAGATCGCATTTTGGGACAAACCAGCTCTGCAGTAAGCGTTGGCCTGCAATAATACATTGACTAATATTCATGTTTCTTTTTTATTGCTTAGTCTCAAATAGTACAACTTCACAAATCAAGTATCGAACCAAAGTTCTATCGTTGTCACTGTAAAACGTTAAATGCATCTACATAAAATTTTCTTTTATTAGAAACTAGATAAATTATGGGAGAAATATTATGTAGTTTGAGAATTTCCAATAAAAGATGACTATAATATACCAACAGTAAAACTTCTACGAAGTGTATTAAATTAAATTTTACAAGCTAAAGAAATGAGGGAAACAAAGACAGATTATTACATAAGAAATCAGCACTTATCGACCGTGACATAATGAAAAAATCAACCAATCATATATTAAATATAACGAAAATAACATTTTTGGCTAATTCATTTATTTACCCAATATCCAGTCTAAATATTTACTATCTATAATCAAAAGACATACTATACTAAATATTATGAAGTGACCGATGACAAATAAAAAGAAAAGTTGAATTGCTTAACGGTGATGAATATTATGCAAGTGTGACTAAATTTAAACAAGTGCTATTAAACTTGAACCTATGATTATTGAGTGTATTCGAATTGTAAACAGAAAAAACAGGAAGAGATTAGGCCTAGTCCGTTTCCCATGCTGTTAGAGATATGACAGTGGTTGTCACTTTGCGGTCGCCCACACTGTAGAAAAATACTTCTTGGAAGACTTAGAAAGGAAATTGCGATGAGAATAGCCCTGACGACTTCGGAGCGTAACCGCAATCACAAATAAATAGCTGCTTGAAGTCAGCTTCATACGGTCTTTCTGTAAGTAGTTTTAGAATAATCAACTCCGTACTTTTGAGGTCTTATTATTGGCGTCAGGAATTTGTGGAACAAGTTTAACTATTCTCCCACTAACCTTCCTGGGATGATACGACTTAAATTAGTGAATGTCTCAGGCAGTATAGTTTGACTGAGTTATCGCGATATGGAAGCCCAATCAGGACATAAAGATATCAGCTACAGTCAAGAAGTGGCTTAAGTAGTGGAAATATTTTTCATTTTCCACTAGTAGACGATGTGTTCAAACCCCATTCGATTAGTGGGGTAATCTAGGGAGCGTGTTTCGTCATATTCCAGACTCGTCAAACTGAACTTACTTGCATTCCAGTTATGATATTGACTCTGAATCTCAAAACCAGTACCTTTAGCTTCAAAAACCAATATGTCATTTAATGCGTTACTGAGTCCAGATAACCACCAGCTTGTGCAACCGGTATGAATTTTGTTTGTAAAAGTTTGGATTTTCATACTCATCTCATAGAATGAGTATTATTATAATATTATTATTATTATTATAATAACCACGACACACAAACTCCTAATTTGTACGGTATGTTTTTTACACACAATTTTGACTTGCTGATTATATCTCATCATCTCAAGTCATATGATTTTCCTTACCTCAGTGTTAGCAGTAAAGAAATTTTGTTGTTGTTCCAGAGCATTAAAGACTGAATCAACGTAAAATTTTCCATTTTCAATTAATGGCATGGATAAATTAAACGTGAATATCGTGTCTAATACACTAATGATTTTGTATTTACGACTACAGAACATCATGAAGATGCTGTTAAAAAATGATCGTTTGTTCTTGTAAAATCTAATACATAAAAAGTCTTAAATAAAAAATATTAAAAAAAAGAGACAACTTACACCTCCAAACATTGCAGATTTATAAAATTTACGAGCAGCAGTAGTATATTTTTCATTTCTACCTAATAAAATGAGACCAGAATAAGTAGCTGGCAAAGATTCAATAATGTACAATTTGGGAATTTCAACAGGTTCACGTGAACTCAACGAATTATCATCGAAAATATGCTGTTGTTCTCGTTCCAACGATGTTATTATAGTGTTTAATTGTGGTAAACAATCATTTATACTAATATCAGATGTACTGCATAACTAGTTGGATGATTAAAACATTCATGAAAATAACAAAAAGGAAGTAATATTGTGTTGAAAAAAAATGTAATTGGTACTTGTAAACAGACATAAAAATATTGACTTATAAACAGATGAGAAATTTAAAACAAGAAGTTTTAAGAGAATCATTCAATAATTTTATCAAAAATTTAAATCAAAAGTATGTTATTAGTTAAGTTCAATTATAGAAAGTAAACTAATCAGACAGACTGATCATTTCATTTTCTTTGTAACCTAATTAGCTTTATGCAGTTAGTGTTGGATCAAAAATTCAAGATCTATACAAATAACTATCTGTAACTATTCACAGCTTTTAACTAAACTTACTTTATATTCCACATTACAGTAAAGGTTAACGTTCGGATAAACTGAGACACTATGCCCTACGTGACGTGAATGTGATGTGATGCGATACGATGAAACTTCATTGTATACCATCTTTATAGAGAAATAAAATTGTAGCAACCATTCTAGGATAAAACGGCTTTTAACACATGAATTTTATAGAAAGATCAGAGTACTATAGTTAAATGTCTAGATCTTGGGAAATTAATGTGGTTTTTGGTCTATCTCACGTATGTATCAATATTACTGAAATCCTCCTTACAAAATATACAGCTCAAAGACATTTTTACTAATAGCTTATCAACTTTATCGACGTAGAAATTGAAGCAACTTACACATGAAATCCTATCAGGCTACATCAAACCTGTTTGATAACAGACCAAAATACATTCAAAAACATGTGCTGATATCACATGTTATCTACAAATGCTGTGGTGAATTATATTGGTCAAACTAGTAATTGACAATTAATAATTATGTTAGCAAGGAGATACAAGAAAAAACAAATTATCATAGTAACAAAACGTTAGTGAAGTTCAATTAGGAACTGAATTATCATTTAACTAAGTTAAGGCGAAAATTTATCTGCATTTAACTTTATATATATATATATATCTTGTATAAGAACTACACTTTAGAAGTGATATAAACTCTGTAATTCGTCTAGGGAATTCCACAATTACAACTTTTATTTGTAATGTATTTGTCTTAACCAGCATATTCATTAACTTTATGCATGTTATTCAAACAACAAATGTATCTGTAATGGTGAAACGATGATATATTTGAGCCTAGAAAGTGTATGGAATCATATAAATTAACCTAAAAATTTCAGGAATAATTATATATAGATCTATTTTCTTACTTTACTCTATTACAATGAATGTTAGCTTTTAAAACAAGTTGTTTGATTGTCTGAACAAAGAAATATGACTCCAGTTTCTTACTTTAGAATTAATCATTGAAATTGCTTCACGATTAGCTAGTGAATGACCCCAAACAGAAAGTTTAGGTGGTTTATCAATCACAACAAAATGTTTAGTTAAAGCTACAATACGCTGACTAAGATAGTGTGCCAATTCATGTGGATCTGTCCAAGACAGATGTTTCGGATATGGAGATTGATCATTTGTCTGTTCAACAGAATTGTTTATAACATTTTGGGAAGATGAAGTTGAGTACTGGGGAAGATAACATCGGTTACTATTGAATATAGATCCGAATGGTAACCGATCAATAACGCTTGAAATGCAACAGTTTGACAATCTATACAAATTTAAACGTTTATTCAGAATAATATTCTTTCTTCTCATTATCGATCTAAAACTAATAAAAAGGAATTTATAAACAAACTCAAGGACGAAAAATAAGAATATAAATTTACATCACTAAAATCTTTTGAATACAGACATAAAAATGTAATGGCAATCGTGTAGAATAAACCAACAATCCAAGGTTACATTAAGTGATCAGTGATAATCGATAGGAAACTCTAATCCTAAAGTTTTGGCAGGTTAGCGCTAAACAGCAAAATATGTTTGTGGCACTTAACATTATGATGTTTGCCGTGGAATTCGAACTAATGCTAAAATATATTATTATTGAGCTATATTCAAATCATCAAAATGAAACTGTAGTTGTGCTTTACTTTGTAATCGTTGTACAATATCGAAATGTGGCTTTATCTTCAATAAACTATTGGGTAATTATATTTTTTGTACATCTAACTTATATAACTAGTGGTTAAACATACTTTATGTTAGATATGTCATTACAAATTAGCATTGTATGAACGAGAAGCATATATTCTATGAACATTTTACAGTGTTATCATACATGTTAACAAATTATGAAAGAATCTAAAAGTATAAAAATAAGTAGTAGTTATTGGCTTTACTATTGGACCAGAAAGAAACAATATTATATCAATTTTAAACTTGTTAAATCATATTAGAATTATGCTAGCTTTATTACTCAAAGTTGATAAATAAGTAAAAACTAAATTGTGTTCATACTAATTAATAAAATGATATTTGGTAGACAGTTATTTTATAAATCCGAAAATATTCAGATTCTTCTTGGTTACCGATATCTTAGGGGATCAATATGAAGTGTTTCAAAATGATGAAAGATGTAACAATCGAAGATAGAGTAGCAAATTTTTCAGTTTTTCACATAAATTCAATAACTAACTGTTGGTTCAGAACCTAAACAAACACTTATGTACATGAAAAGTTAAACAGATACGTTAATTAGATCTAATGTGCAGTACTGTAATCAGATGTCCTATTGTAATATGTTATTAGGTGCTTTGACAAAGATAGTTTATACCCTAAAGTTGATGGCATTCATTCATATCGAACGCTATGAACATCAATTGATACTGGATGAACCGAAAAATATTTTCAAGTGTAGGATAAAATCGAATCACGAAATTCGCTAACACATTGAAACTAACAGATCAAGGTCTGGAAAAAAAAACTAGGATGTAAATGTTAGGATATTCATCAAATATCCTAAGAGAATCATTCTTGTAAGTCTAATTCTATTGATCAATTCCTACTGATCAATATTATGGTCGTCTTAGCTATCAATGTCACATCAAATGTTGTTTCCCATTCAACCTAACTGAATAAATACGCATTATCTGTAACATCTTATGACCCGGACCCAGATCCTTAGTCCGGGATCCTGATTCTCTTCTGGACTCAGACCACGTACTTCCTCGATGCTCGTGGAACACACGTTCTACTTCATACCAAGTCTTCTTCTATCCAATGGGGGCTTGGGACAATAGGATTAGAGTAGCCTGTCATGTCGCCGGATCCTTGATCCTCACATTCGTTTCCCGACTAAGGTAAACTCGTAATAATTCAAGCACATGAAATGACGTGTTTACGTGCATGCGTAACAGTAAAACATCAAGGAATATACATATATATATATATATATATATATATATATATATATATATATATATATATATAGACTATTAGAATATCATACTTCTTGATAAGCTTGAGAGAATTTTAAGCCCAACTGAAACCGTTATTTTTGAAGGTGTTAGTAGATAACATGTTTTTAAACAGCCTATATAACAAATTATCAGAAGTGACTACTTATATATGTTCATATTTGTTTACCTATCCATTTGGAGACAATAATATACTCTACTGGATCTATATTATTTACAGAGAGAATCTACAATCAATCTAATATCAGTATTTTAATCAAAGATTCATCGTTGACACCAACAAACTAGTTGTAGCAGATATTTTACACAGATTAGTGGTCGGAAAAGTAAAAACAATAGTCCTAAGATGTTTACTTTCCTTACACTAAAAGTTTAATCTTTCAGATTACTTTATGCTTAGATTTTATCCACTAACAACTTATTGTTCACTGACTTCTGGTAGTATTTCTCTTGATTACACTTTCAACAGAATCTACCTTATATTACTTAGCAGATAGCTATCTTAAGCCAAACGGTTGTAATCAATGTTACTTTTTTGGGCTAATGATTAAGATTCATAACAGTTTTGGCTGTTTCATCGAAAAAATAGTCGGATTAATTCTATTAGTTTGAAAAGTTTGATAAATAATGCAGAATTGTTGTCGATAATAAGAGAAAATCAAATATTTCAAGAAACGTAACTAACAGGAGATGCAATTAGACGAAAGAGAACTGGCGTCGTTTTTCTAATTAACATAAACTAGCGACAACTTTTTGTGTACATGGACCAAACAAATAATCTAAAACTTTGTGACCTACCAACATTGCCAATTTTCTATTCACTACGTAGTCTCAATCGAGTTTTCTCAGTTGCTTAGTAGGAAAAAATATAGCGATTTTATCATCTAGTCGAGGCAAACTACTATATTCGAAATACAGTTACATAATCTACCAATAGTTATCAAAAGATGGAACAGAATTTTTTTTCGTTTTACAGAGTGAAATCAGTTTCGAAATGAAGTATGATTATACAGTTAATCCATGTAAGGTGCGAGTTGTAAGACATAGCTGAATGTTATCTAGTTTTGCTTGTGATCGGTAAATAACTTTTTTTCACAGCATAAGATAACTATTAAGTGAGAAAGATATGATAAGTAAAATCATTTACAGATACATGTCATGTTTTGAATTTATAGAAAGTTGGTTAACTTTTACTATTATTAGTATAGAAATGGTTGTTACTAACCCACACTATGGCTAAACGCTTCTGAAAAAGATACGAACATGTAGGCAACGATGTGTTTACTTAACCATTTTCCCCCATTATTTATACTTATTGTAAAGGGCTAATTTGTCTTTTCTGCTCATAGTCCTGTTAAGCATTGGTAAAAAATCTCCATTATCAAGTCTGTAAACTACGAAATATAGTTAATTACGAACGATACGCAAGAATACATGAATGAAGAAATATCACGTACAAATCACAAGTATACAAAGGAAGAAAACATGCTTAAAAGCATATATAAATATATTTCATTTTATTTACTCGAGATACAACTTATTAAAATACATTGAAATAAATAAAAAAACGATTTATAAATAAAATTCTGTATATTATACCAATACTTCAAAACAAAGCGTTAAATTAAGCAGTAAAACATGCAGAGGATAAGAAAAACAAATTATACACAAGAATCGAAGATAAAATAATATGTGTAGATGATCATTGTCAAGTATTCGTCAAGTATTATCACCTCTACTTGTATTGCTTTTCTCAGACTACAATAGTTAATAGCAATATTAAATGAATAAACCATATATATATATATATATATATATATATATATATATATATATATATATATCAAACAAGCAAGCGACTAATATATACAAAACTGATCATGTATCTTACAATATAACACATAATAAAGTGTACTTGAAAATGTAGATATGAAATTAATGTCTGAAAAAAATTGATTCCATAAAAAAACAAGCTGACGAAATAATTGATCAGTTCGGCAAATAATTAACTGACTAACAATAACAGTAGTAAATAAAGGAAAAAATATCAAAATAATAAATTAAAAACTTTTCGATTGAACTGATCCTCCAATACTATGAACAAGACGAAGAAGAAGAAGAGGAACGAATTCACTAACTAGTAAGTAATTTTGATTTAAAAATGCGAAATATTATGTACTTTTTTAATAATCAAAACAAGGCGATAACATAGAATAATAATAATAATAATAATAATAATAATAATAATAATAATAATAATAATAATAATAGCATGAAGAAACTGATAGTGTCAATATTTTCTAAATCAAAGAGAAAAGAGGTGGAGGGAGAGACATAATAAATAACGGTGTCTTTTGGTCACGGTTTCCTGTTGAACAATAATAAAGATAAACTTATGAATAAACAAATCTATAAAACAAACCCAGTAGCTTAGAAAAAAAAGTATTATTTTTCAAGATAAAAAGTATAAATAAGTAGTTAAAAATAAATGCTGTAATAATAGTGATAATAGTAATAAAATGTTAATTTTAATATATTATTGTGACACGTTACCGAGAAGTATATATATGTTTAACGACACCGGGTAATGATACAAGTAACAAAAAAAGAAAAAAACAAGTAAAAAGGGTTACTCCAAAATACAAATAAAATATATGTATGTAAAAAAACACTATTTTGTATAAATTAGTAGATAAGTTTTACAATGTGAAAAATTAGTAAATTACGTAAAACTCAAAAGCGAATAAACGAGCAAAGTATAGTTCGACAGTAATGGATGTAAGAATTTAGTATGCCTTTAAACACAAAAATAATAAGAATTTCAAGAATAAATAATAAATAAATGCTTTATATCAGTTAACACTGATTAATCGGTATATTTAAGCTTAACGGAGCCAGATGTCTTGGTATTGACCACGGTTGAATTGTGTCCAATTTCAGAGATACATCAGGACTAAATGATGTCGTGTGACGGAAATCTATTGGATTTCCATCATATCCTGTTATTGAGGTTGATGGAGTATTGGTCTTGAATACATTTCCGATTTGATAATCAGTAGACGTCATCGTAGTTCTTGATATAGAACTATACAACAATTGTTGTTTGGTCTGCCATTCTAAGAAATTAAGTGTATTATGCAACTGTTGTACCGTGCCGACTAGTAAAACACCTCCAACATCAGATCCGTAGCACTTAGTCGGTAGACATCTAAATTCAGGCATCTGCACTTGAGTTAACAATGACCGATTAAAATTATCGTTTGGTTTATTACTGGAAAGGGGATTCTTAATAAATAAAAAATGCAACCAAAATGTATGAAAATAAGTGACCTAGAATGATTTCTGAAATTAAAGGAAAAATAGTTTGAAAGAATCATTATAATAAATATGAGCTGTTGATAAAATAACTGCGTTAAGTAGTTAGTCATAGAGATAGGGACTGAACACAATTATGAATCAGTTCAATTTGTTATACAACATTAGAACGAGAGAAAATTAACCAAGACGTCGTAATAATAGTGCTTTCCATGGTAACAAATATTAGACATAAGAAATCTAGTTCAGAAAGAAGAAACAAAGTATAACAAAAGGTACGACTAAAAGATAGGGGGGTAATACATTTCCGTCATAGAGAGGGATTTTCACTCAATCCATTCAACACATAATCAAATTACTGATTGACATTGTGCCACATGGACGCCAAAACAGGAAGTCCATTTGCACTTATTCATAGCGTTCATACCAACAGCCAATGATTTCAGCCCAGAAGACGCACTACTGTTAAAATTACCACCCACTTAAGCTATAAATCTTCATCAATTCAAGCGAACTTGAAGATGCACAGAACGTTGTCAAGAGCATATAAATATATATATATATATATATATATATATATATATATATATATATATAGTGCGGTTTATTTGGATAAATTCTTAAGTACGATAGGTAGTTTACGAGTTCGACAGGAACTAATTTTTGAAGCCCCATGACTGTTTCCTATACAAGCTTATTAATTATAGAACTTAGTTTTTAACTATTTAGTCAACAGTTAGAACAGCACACTTGCTCCTGTTTTGAGCAACCAGGTAGTGTATCCATCATTGAAACCGGAAAATTATTCCTGACAGCAGTAAGGTATTTCCCTCGGACAACCAGCATCTGCAGCGATGCTGCCTTCTCACAAGGAAGGAAGGGTTAGAAAAGGTCGACCCTAGAAATGTCACACCTCACCCTACTTCACGGATTCCCGTCTCCGACGGTAAGTGTGCCCAACAAGGGCTTTTAGGAGCGGAGCTAACACTCAAAAAACCTTTCATAAAAAGGTCGTGCGTGACCGGCCTCAGGCAGTAGTCCCTTGGGCTCTGCGGTCACGCACCCAGGTCTCTAAGACCAACACTAATCTACCTTCCTTTTCAGGTTCCTCAAGAAACAACCTTCCAGGGTGTGGGCAGCCGGGAAGTGACAACCGCCCTCATACCCGTAACAGCACACGAGACCAAATTGGTCAAAATCAAATCCTGAACTGATGTACGTAGGTATGAAGTTCTGCGTTGTATTTGTCTGCCTTATTCCACAACTAAACACTTTGATAGACAATTTCTTGGAAAACACTGGAGAAAATATTCTTCAAATAGATACGTTGAGACAATTAAGTCTGAACTTATAACTAACCTGAGGATTTGATCTTTGAGAGTTAACAAGCAAATGTTGATTGGGAGCAGAAGAACATTTACAACTTTGAGTACTTGAACAAACTGAGTACACCGAATTGGGTGATACCATCGTCTCAACTTGGGATAGTGTTTGCTTATTTTGTTCGTGACATGGTTGCTGAAGAAATAAATCACTCGTGAAATCTTCTGAAGATGATTGGAGTTTGACACTGAGTACACTTTCTGTGAAAGCTGAATCAACTGACTCTCCACTTAAATAACGAGAATGTGACTGGTTATTGACTCCTGAAGTCTCGAAAGGTACATTACATTCAACTTTGTTTCCCCCAGTTATTGGACAACTACCACCCTTTTGACTTCCCGATATTAAGTAATGGGGATCATTCAGAGTAGTGATTTCAGCAGTGATCTGTGTTGTAGGTGCTAACGTTGGTGTTATAGTGATCTATAAAGAAAAGTGATAAGAGAAAAAATTCAACTTGACAAAAGGTTTTTATGTTTGACGGGATAATTAGGGGCACTTAATGCCGATGAAATTAACGTTCTTATATAATTTGCATGAGGTAGATATTAAAAAAAAACATGACTAACCTTTTCATTGACCTCCATAGATGATTGAAGTATATAATTCTGAATACCAGGCGTTCGTGGAATAAAATCTGGATAGAAGGCAGAAGGATGTCCGACATAAAAGACTTCGTTCAAACCCAAGTCAGGATAACCATATTCTGACTGCCTAATTAAATTCGACTGAGATATCAACGGTTGAAATACAGTGTCACATGAGGTCAGACTGACAACTGGATTAGTGCTTCTATTTACCACACTTTGGTCGATCCAAGGAACAAATGGAATTACTGTGTGAGAAATTGCAGTCAAAAATAATAATAGGTCGGAAAATTATGTTTGGATTTTCCAAACAGATTAAAACCAAATGAAAAACGTCCTCATTGCATCACAAAACTGCCAAACAACCAATGGAGTAAAACTGTCCACTAGAAAGTATTTCTATAAATAAATGCATGGATGTTAGCATATTATGACGTCAACTTAAAATATTCATTATCGAGAGTTCACTTCACTTGCCACACAATATATGCGCACTGCTGATGAGTCCCATACCAAGACGAAACGGCCGTCTAGTGCTTCCAGGTTCCTAATGGTGGTCTAACAATGATTGATTGATGATTTCAAATGTGTAAAAACACTAATCTCTATAACTCTAATTGAAAATATGTAATTAGTTTATGACATACTAGAAACCAGAGATTTAATACAAGATATTTTTAGAACAATTAACAAAACTGATTTTGAGACTGGACTGATGTGAGTGACGACATATAGCTATCGAGCAAGTAAAATATCTATTTAGTAAATTGTTAGAAAATGGTATACCACTTTATGTTCATGTGACCTAAACTATTTAGATATAATGTGTTTTACGTATTTTCACTTTCAAAGTTAGTGTCCTTAAAGAACGTTAACATCATTTCAATCGTCTCATAAAGTAAGATACTAAACACAGAAGACTGCTAAAGGACATGAAAACTGTCTTATTTATCAACTTTGATCAACTAAACATTAGTAAATCTTACTCCTCTAAATCATAAGAAATTTACAAAAGAATGACTACATAAAATAAAGATGAATACAAGACGCCGCAAAAACGTCTACTAGTCACAATTCATGTCCCGCTCTCAATCCCTGATTGTCTCAAGTCTTCTTGTGACAATCACATAGGAATCAGTTTCACTAATATAATGTCTAAATTGTTAGCTTCGATAATCCTTAGACGCCTAACTAGAGCTCGTGAAGAGCAGACCAGAGAAAACCAGGCTGGCTTTCGACCTGAACGTGGTTGTATAGACCACATACTCACACTACGACAGGTCCTAGAACACAGACATACATTTAGGAGACCGACAATGGTTGTCTTCCTGGACCTTAAAGCAGCATTTAACTCTGTCGATCATGAGGTTCTGTGGTAGCGCCTGTCATTGAAAGGTGCACCAAAGAAGTACATTAACCTTATACAAGCTCTTTACTAGAATACCACCGGTCGAGTGAGAGCTTATGACGAATTGTCATCGGAATACCTTACTTCAAGTGGTGTCCGCCAGGGATGTCCACTCCCCATTCTTTTTTAACTTTTTCGTAGATAAGCTTTTAGAGTTGACATTATCATCGTCTGACTTCTCAGTAGCGGACCTTTTACCAGGGGACACGCTTGCTGACATAGTTCCACTTGGCGAAGACGCTGATAAAATGCAGTCTCTTAACTACCCTAAGCAATAATGCTAGCGTGTTTGGGATGCGATTCTCCCTCTCGAAATCCAAAATTTCCCTTCAGAATTGGCTTGTATCAGCACCTGAACTAGTGAGAGATTGAAACAGTTGAGCGTGTTAACCGCCTCACTAATCTCGGGAGTCTCATCAGTGTTGATTGCCTGGTGTCTGATAAAATTTCAGCACGGATACAGACAGCGCGACTGGCTTTCGCCAACTTGCGTCAGTTGTATCGTTGGAAAGACACTCGTCTACTAATCAAAAGACGAGTACACTGCGCAGCAGTTCGCACCGTTATACCATATGGGTGAAAACATGGCTAGTAAGATTAGGGGATATTCGTAGGTTACTAGTATTCGATCATAGATGTCTTCGATGTATTGCTCCTACATCCTGAGACCACCGGGTAAGTAATGCTAGTGTTAGGAAAAAAGTGATAAGTATAGCGAATCAATGAATAAAGCAGTAAACCTTCATCAGTTTTTGTGGTTGGGATGTGTGTTACATAAACCCAACCACCAACTGCCCTGACGAACTATGTTTTGTAGTGCAGGAGTAGGTTGGAAGAAAGCTAGGGACGGCCAAACCAAAACATGGCACAAATCCATGAAGTCACTGACAAGTGGACTGAGTCACGTCGGTAGGTGTCGACTGACTGGTTGGGGTCCGCGAGATGATAGTAATCGATGGTTAGAGACCCTGAATGACATGGTTCAAAACCGTTTGCAATGGTGCACGTGCATTCATTCTTACTGTTCTCTCAAATAAAACCTTCAGAGTTCCTCATCACTTTATCATTATAAATTTCTTTCACTAGATTCTGCTTCTTGAATAATATCTCCGAACCCTAATCTCTCTGATTACTGCTAATAACTTTACTACCTCTACTACTATAGCATTTGAATTGACAGTTGCGCCTGTGTGCTAATGTGGTAAGACAAGTTGAACTGATGTATGTACGTACGAAGTTCTACGTTGTAACTGATTGACTGACATACTTCATGTCGGTAAGATAGGTAGGAGTCGATAGAAAATACGAAAGTGTGAAGAGAGAGAGATAAACCAGAGTACAAAGAATATGGAATAAGAAATGTATAAATTAAAATATGTGTCACAGCAATTGTGACCAATGTCGAATTTCATCAAGTAGTTTCCTTGATAACGAAAGTCATCGGACAGACACCAAAAAAAGATAATCCAGCTAAAAATGAGATAGAAAAATCGTATTTGAATGTCATATAATATAAAACTACTCAGGCAGCTAACTTATGTCTGCACTTTTGAAATGTGGGTGTTGCTACCTTACGACCAGTTACTTATTATTCTCCTTAACCTACACGAGACACTAGTAACCGATGGTTAAAGACTTTGAATAAGATGTCTCAAAATCGTTTGTAATGGCGCAGGTGCATCCATTCTTTGTCTTCCCTCAAATTCTAATCTTCTGGATTACTCATGATCTTTTCTCTCTTGTTTAAACTGATTCCACTTGGATATGTTTCTCGAATCATATCTTCGACCCCTATTTTTGATTACCGCTAATACTTCTACTACCTCTACTACTATGGGGTTCGGATTGACCTTTCGATGTTTGTGCTTATGTGGTATGGAAACTTGAATTGATGTAAGTACGTACGAAGCTCTACGTTGTAGCTGACTAAGTGACTGTAAACTAATCTGTGTTTCCAAGATTATATTTCTCAGTGATGCAAACGTTCGTTAAACAGTGGGAAATGAGCACTCGTTAGATAGCTCATGTAACTGACAATAACATCGCTGTCTCATTTACTGTTAACGACAAACGACCGAGACAATAGAAATACTTACTTGAATCAAGATTGGCACTTGTAAGTGGCACTGATAAAGAATGATTACAGAAAAGAGGATCTATCTGACTGATAGTGGACTCGTGTTCGAAGGTTATGGTTGGCAAACCTTCATCACAAAGATTTGGGATTAAAATTTTTGACTTGCACTCCGAATCTGTATTTGAGTTATCCATATTTACTAGAGGGTGATAGCTAATTGCGAACGGGGAACCTATTGAAAATGCACTAGCGACTGGTTCCCTGACCTGGGAATAAGAGCAATTTGAATAACAAGCTGAATCAGGATTCTCGAGGATTTTACACAATATCATTTCTACTGCTTTTCTCCTCTCTTTTAACTCGCCTAAAATTATAAATAACACATATAATGCTGGTAATATTCAATAAGAAACATAACATTTTCAAAATCTGTGGGCTAGTGGCGAGTTTACAGTTCAAAATTCCAATCAAGTTACTAACAAACGACAGACACAAATTTGAAAAAACTAAAGAACAACTACTTTCTTTCTGTATAAAATAAAGACCACTAGTTTAAACGAATCAAGAATCATGAACATGGTTTGTTCTGCATTTAAATAAAATGAAATTGAGATACTTAGAATTAAGTTTATGAAAATCAGCAGCTAACTCGTTCTCAAGGGTAGATAAATTTGATCTAGGTAGCTAGTGACAAGTAATAAATACAATATGTAAAATACAGATATATCTGATACTAAAGAATTCTACATTGACCCAGTACATAACAACACTGAAAGCCCACGTAAACCATAATGGTAAACTCTATGGTTAACTAATCTAATTTAGTATCACAGGTTTCGAGATAAGAACACTTGAGGTATTTAATTCACTAGTAGGTATCGCGTTTTGTTTCCCACTAGCTGCCATATAAATACCATAATAATAAGGGCCTGAGGCTACGAAGTCTAAATAGGACAATAACTATAAAATAAGGATGAAAATAAAGTAGTAATTAATAGGGGTTAGATGTATGACTATAAAAACAATTAACCCACCTGTTATCACAATGCACCTTTCAAATAACTTTACATCTCTGGGCCTTTGAGAAACTTGAATAAAAGCATTGCTTTTTTCTTTGATTTTTTCGATAAAGTTCCCAAACTTTCCGATAATGATACCAGCCATACCGTCTGGAACTAAAATTTTAACCTGCAGTAACAAGAGCTAAGTGGTTAGAGACAACTTGCCTGTTTGTGACGTTCCATGCAATTAACCCCTGTTGGAGTTATTATAGATATATTCTGAGGTCGTTTGCTTATTTTGGCCATCACATAATCATGTAACTGTATGCATGCTTCAAGTGTACCAACAATGAGACATACTCTTTCAGTAGTTCCTTAAAAAATAAACCGCAAGATATGGGTTGAACTACCTGGATAAAAGTCATTTGCTCGAGACATTTTGAGCCTTGCTCCAGTTTGACGCTTGATTGTTTCAATAGCTTCTCCTTTCTTTCCAATGATCGCACCAGCAGCAACATTAGGAACAAGAATCTTAAAGTAAAGTTCTGAAAGCAAACAGGACGAAGAGAGATAACAATGAGAATGACTGAAGGTCGAGTAGTGATTGAACTAATAAAACAGCGACTGATTTAAGTCTACTTACTTTAATTCCACTTACATAAATAAGCGCGTATTGCCCGCATCTGTGATTAAGTGGTTTAGACACACTATATAACCTCAGAAAGGTTATATATCGCCTCGTATAGTCTACAAAGGTTCTTGAAAAGTGAGCATAGATAACGCACTAAACTAATGGTCGATTTAAATCTTATCAACAATCAGATTTGAATTGTCTGAAAATTAGTATAGCTTATACATCAAGTATGATCAATACGTATAAATGAATACAAATGCAGACTGTTTATCCTGAGGTATTTAAAAATCTCTGATTTTTCAGATAACTGGAATCACTGACATTTATAACTGGGGTTGAAGCTATTATTAGAAAAAAACTATACCTAGTGATTACATGAGAGGATTCTTATCACCAAATTCTCCGAAGTCTGTGTTACAGGCAAAAGCACGCAAAACGCTATATTTAGTGACCTTAAAAGCTATAAAAATACATGAGGATAAGTAAGCACGTGATGAACGCGCAAGAGAAGCATAAGGACAGAGTAACATCGCATAATTAACATTCTCAGATAGATTTCAGACAGAACTATCTATCAATTATTTGATCTATTTTTAGTATTTGTAGAATCCAAAACGAGATAATTATGTGGGACAACTATAAAAACCAACGAAATAACAACTACCTGACATGTGAAAACGTAGAGAGAGTAACGCAAAGAATTGTTGGTAGCGCAACTCTGGTAGACCTAAAAACAGTTTTGATAAAGAAGTGACAAAAAAGGTAAACACTCAATCCGTGAGAATGTTGAAATTAGGTCTTTCTCTTCTTAATTTCACTGGTAACGTTTTTAGCTTTAATTGTGTTACTACATATCTAAACTCCGCCTTTTCTGTGTGACGTGATTTCTTCGGTTAAAAACTAACTTCATGTAATTTCTTCTGGTTGATGAAAAGAAAAAGCTAGTGCCAACTTGATGCATTATTACCTCCTCTAGAATAATATGTAATAATTGAAAGTACTCACTTCCTCTGTGTGCAAGTTACCCCTTTCTTCTCTTAATACAACTTAGTTTTCTTTTTCTTACCTTCATGCGAATACTCTTTGAGCTTAGGACGGCTACCATGTTGAAACATTCGCCCCTTCCGCCATGGCAATTTGACTAGCTGTGTGTTGGATAGAAGAGCCAGGTCATCTGGTTCCAAATCGTCTATCGGTACCGCATACATCCCCTGAGATGTTTGGGTATTCATGATTCGATCAATCACCAGAGGGGAAAAGAGCGGGAAGAGTGATCTGTCTAATCTAAAATCAGCCACCACCTGGGTTAGGGTTTTTGTACGTACTGAGGTATCCCTTCTTTAGCTTCTTGATGAGATTCCCTACCTTTCAGTGTGTTGGTACTTGTATTTTTCTCAAATATTGCTGGACAGAATATATAACATCGGTGCAATTCTGGTGGCATACTTTTACGAAGATAACACAACTGCTGAAATGGAAACACTTATTATTGTACTTAATTCTAATAATTTTTATATTGTACTGCTTTAGTTTGACTGTACTAAAGACTATCTATCACGCACCAAGCGCGTTACTCCCATTCTACTTCTCTCCTCAGTGGTTGTAGGCCACTCCATTATCCTGGTCTTGATATTATTTCGATATCATGTGGCCGGCGATAAATAAACTTCTTGATCCAGAACAGTCTTCATTCTGACTTCTGACTTTAGGATTTAACTTGGTGATTCCGCGAAGATGTATATTTATATCAACTCACAATACACTCAGTACTCTATCTAATATGTTGTCTGGCCATGCTATTTTCCCACTCATAATTTGTATCATAAAAATGATTTCTTCGGATATTGGAAGGCTAACATCTTAGGAAGTATGCTGGTGCTGCTTTGTTTCCCAGTGGGCTTAGGAAGCTGGTCTATTCAAGCGCTCTCAAGATGATCTGTTCATATGTTCCGCTGTTATTGAAACCTGATTCACTTTCTTAGTTCTTCAATGATCGCTCTTAATTACCATATTTTCATTCTGGCATCTTCACTGTGTCAAACAGTTTTCCCATATTTTCTCCTTTCTCATCTGATTCCGCGGACCAGCTCTAACGCTCCTCTTTGCTTGCTTGTTCGATTCTAGATATTCAGCCTTTGCCTCGAGTATTCTTTTCTTGGTCAGCTGTTATTGCCTGCAATCTTCTGGTCTTTTCTTTATTGAATGCTTATTTATTCTAAAGACCGGTACATCTTGGGGCCTAGCATGTTCTGGTCTGTTTAATATATTGTCCCTTTAGTGATTTTCTTCAGTTGCTCTGTATATTGTGTTTTATTTCCTCATGTAAGTTCGTAGGGACAGCTACCTTAAATTTGCTTAGCAACGACAAGGTGTTGACCTGATGCTTCACCATTCCCTCTCTCTGTTCTTATGTTTTATATGGATCCTCTAAACTTTTAATTGACGGGAATGAAATCGATTTGGCTCTGAGGTACGGTAAGTGTCATCTAGCCTTGCGTATGCATTTGTTGTGCAAAACGGCGCCACCTATAACTATATGGTTGAAATACACATATTGGCCAGTATCTCACTATTCTTGTTCCTATCACTAAGTTTATGCCGTCTCAGGATATTTTTGAAACCATGAATCAATCAATGTTAGACCACCATTAGAAACCTGGAAGCACTGGACGGCCGTTTCGTCCTGGTATGGGACTCCTCAGCAGTGCGCATCCACGACTCCTGCACCCCGCAGGATTCGAACCCAGGACCTTCGGTATTGTGCGCGAACGCCCTAACCGATAGACCACTGAGCCGGTATCTAACGATGTTAATGTCTAACTTGATCATATTCACGGATCGATTCATGGTTTCAAAAATGTGAAACGTAACAATCTTCACAACCCCGTGATGCAAATTACCTGTGCTCACTAGTGACTAGCTTCGTGAGGAATCTTCTCCGAGTTCTAGTGGGAAGACGTGACCAGTGAAGTTCAACCTGTTCGGGTGTAGACAGTAACTACCGAAGACTGTGTATGAGGTTGCGCAACTCCGTGAATACGATCAAGTTAGACATTAACACCGTTAGATATCGGCTCAGTGGTCTATCGGTTAGGGCGTTCACGCACAATACCGAAGGTCCTGGGTTCGAATCCTGCGGGGTGCAGGAGTCGTGGATGCGCACTGCTGAGGAGTCCCATACCAGGACGAAACGGCCGTCCAGTGCTTCCAGGTTTCTAATGGTGGTCTAACATTGATCGATTCATTGTTTCAAAAATGTGTAACGTAACAGTCTCAGGATATGTTCATTCAGGGTGTAGTCCAGATGTAAGTGTAGTGTAGTTCAGATATCTTACGAAAATGATCAGGTCTTTGCATGAACATCGCTCTGAAATCCTCCAAAGAATTAGTTCGCATTACCGCTGATTTCATTGGTGGCTGAATTAGTGCTAGATGACATTATTCGAAATCCGTTCCACTTGTTTGGTTGTCCTGGAGTTAAGACTTTTATAATTCTTTAGCAAGGCTTTGTTCTACAGGAAAACAATGCTAATCGTATATAGAACCCTGATTCCTAGTCCGGGCTTGGGACTTGGAGTGACTCTAAACAGTATTTAGTTTGGGTCTTCGATGTTATCCAGACTCCATTGCTTAAACTTGCCGAACAACTATCGGTTGAACAAGCGGACGATAATATGGACCTGAGGTTGCAACTTATTGCAAACCGTCCTTAACCCATTAACCTGGTTTTCGATTTAGAGTAGGCAAGAGCTTGAGTGTCTGTGCTTGCCTCTATAGTTATCGCTATTTCTCCAGGTCAAAGGACAGAATATCATGCTGGTTGATTAATAATTCCCTTCTTTCTGTTTTAAAAGCTCAGGTTCCTCCTAAAAAACATTAATGGCCAACTACTACTGCACACAATATAGTGTAAATCGAAAGTTCATTTTATTCCATTTGCGACTATTCGAATTCGCTGAATAGTAAGATTTTAACGATCACACAACTCCAGCCTAATGCTACCGAGAGGGTGAAGTATTCGTGATACCCTGTGGCTCACAATTCTGGATTGTCCAATGTTAAAAGTACAACACATACTGATTTAATTTAAGGAGCTTTTGGATTAACAAAGAATGTCGGATATTGCAAGTTAACGCTTTATACAGAAAACATAGTCACAGATAGGACCCTACACAGCCTAGAATTTACAGTCTACGTGGTAGTGAGCAGTTGTCAGGAAGGTTACGTTCAGCTCAAAACCAACAGCACAGATCAGTAGTCATGACTGGCAGCAGTAATTTGTGAACCTATACGATGAATTTATGAAGTAAAGGATAACCAGAATGCCGAAGTCATCTTCTTCGTCTATGTCGCGCCATCGGAGTCAAACGATTCTGGCTTTTTGTACGAACAGTGGTGACCAAAGATAATCAAATCCAGGATAAAAGCATTACATCCACATCCAAACGTAGTTAGATACCTAAAGAGATACTTTGCAGTCAAATCAGCTTCGTTCTTTTTCACTGAAGTTATTAATCGACAATTATTTAGCCACCACTGCAAACCTGGCATAGGACTGGTCAGCAGTGTGCATCCACAATCCCAGTCCACAAGAGTCGAATTCAGGACCTTCGACCTTCCGCACGAATATTGAAACCCTAGACGATTAAATTGGCATACAACGATGTTAACGTCCAACTTTAATCAATCCAAGGTATTGCGAAATCTCACACAGTATCTTCAGTAGGTTACTTTCTACACCTAACAGGATTGAACTATAATAGTCGCGACCCGTCAGTTTATTTTGAAAATCATAAAGTGTACACACTGGCGGCTAGCTTCATAAGGAAATTCTCGAAATTTTTGTGAGAAGCCGTGACCACCCTAATTCAGTCCTATTGTGTGTAGGCGATGACCTACCCAAGATATTAGGTGAGATATTTTCGATTGATTAAAGTTAGAGATTAAACTGATGTATGCCAGCTCAACCATCTACAGTTTAAGTGTTCATGCGGAAGGTCCTGAATTCGACTTCTGCGAACTGGGATCGTGGATACACACTACTAATGAGTCCCATGCCAGGATGAAAAGATCATCCAGTGCTTCTAGGTTCTCAAGCGGTTTGACAATGACCGAATTATTACTTTATTAATATTTAAGAATCCCCATAACCCTTTGATGGAAGTGTTTTAATTATGTAAATGATTGTTTTTGACGTCAATCAGTCCAATAAGTATCGTCTGAACATATTCGCGTTCCAACTCAATAAGTTCTCTGTATTTAAGAATACCATCCAGCTTCTCCCTATTCATTAGGTGAAACAAATGTCCCTCTGACAGTTTGATTATATAGCAAATTAATCTGAGTTTTCAAAGACCACCTTGTTTTTACCATATAAATGCATCTTGTCGTGCAGGATATTTCGAAATATACTCGTAAATTAGTTGCTTCTATTATCGTATTTCTTCATATTTTCTAGTCAAATATAACTCATATCCATTGTTTTGATGATTTCTACTGATGCCGTCGTTCATACCTAAAACTGATGGCCACCCATTCAGTTGATGCTTAAGCTTAATGGCTGACAGAATTTCTGATTTGTTCATTAGACAAGTAAAAACAACTATCTAGTGATACCACGATACTGACGCTGAGCCGAATCCTAATCTAAGTCATCCGCCGACAAAAATCAACTGTGTGAACCTTATTTGTGTAACTAACGAAGACATTAAAACTAGATAGAACAAGTGACTACAGTTTAGTGGCAAAATGTGTACACTTTCTATTCAGATCGCAATTCGCAAAACAAGCGGACTGCTATCTTTTAGTCTTAAAAATGCTTTAACCACGCCACACACTGGGGTCCAAAACTCTCCTCTGAAGCAGTAACTTCTGGACGACACTTAATTGCGTACTGCTTGTAATCCATTTTGTAAGTGGTACCCACCAGATTTGTCGTGAATGCCCCGAAATGTCATAATTAGCGGGTTAGGGTTGTCAGTTGAACGACATGGATGATACTGAATACAGGCATAGATCTACATCAATGAGTCCGATATGAACTAGTACTGCGAATATCGTCCTATGACATGGTTCCTTGATTCTACTGAAAGAAAAACGATATCCATTTCGCTCAATGTGATATTTGTTGCAGCTAATGCCATTCGTCTCTTCACAGTTTTGTCTCTTAATCTAGATGGAGTGATAAGACGGTGATAATCCCATGATTATTTCATCTACCTTACAAAATATAACACCACAAAAATCACCCACCAGAGTTTCAAATAATTAGGTCGGTAATCTATGAGAAGGCTTACAGTTAGCCCGATAATAAAACAAATAAAGTTAATCGATTGTTTTCGAAACCTAGAAAACCTTCAGAATATTTCGGAAAGTTTGTCGCGTTTAACGGAGATTTTGGATGAATTCGAGATCATGCCAACTATTTTTCAAACAAATCTCAAGGTAACCGTTAGTAACGGATCAAACAGGTCACAAACTACGAACTTCAATTAGCTAGTAGCAAAACTCATTTATCGGACCCCAAATCTACGCATTAATATGTGGAAATGGAGTTCAGCGAAAAGATAAAAGATATAAAACCATATAACTGAACACTGACTTCAAACAAATGTATGATAAATTAGTCAGGTTTTGAGTACAAATTCCAGCAAGCACAAGTGACCGATGATTAGTCCTGAAATAGATACATGAAACCCATTTATTCATGTAACAAAGGTAAACACATCCTAACCAACTAAAACTTCAAGTACTGTACAATATATACACTAGTTACAATTCACTGTGAGGATTTATTGTTGTCCCTGTGTTGCGTGAGAGATTCCTAGTTCAAAAGAAAAGCAGAAAAATAAATACATTATGATGATAAAGATTTTATACTCCCAAAAACAAACGTATCAATTTCAGTTAAATTCTAAATAAAACTTTCCTATTCTTACAGAAAAAGTTAGTTTCACTGGGCAATAGAAGTGATAAAAAGAGTGGTTTCTATAAATTTTATGAAGTTAAACAAATGCAAAGACAAAAGTTATTACCAACGCTGCTTATGATACTGAACATATGAGTTTCGAAAAAACGATAGTGCCGAACCGTTGAGTTAACTCAAATGGAGCCCCTTTAGCGCTACTGCTGGTCCCAAGCGCGGATAAAAGAGGAGGGTTGGGTACAGAGTTAGCTACCCCATTCCGTAGAAAACGAATCATGACATCGCATGACGAAAGCCGAATTACTTCGGAAGTCACGAGGCCGACACTCTTTCTGAAAACCAGAGCAACCACTTTTTAAGTACATGAAATGTTCGTACATTTTCAGAGACTGAGTTTGTCATCCGATTTACTGCCTAAATGAAAAGATACAACCTGCAGGTGCTTGGAATCCGTCGAACACATTAGACAAAGGTTAGACAACTAAGACTAACTTCAAGAAAACTGCTGCTATACTCCATCCATGAAGAAGACAATGCCTACACACAAAATGAGTTGCACTGACGTTGTCCAAACAAGCACAAAAGACACTATTAGGATAGGAGTCTCATGGATGAAGGATGATTAAGGCATCTTTCAAAACAAAGGAAGAGGGCATTACAATGAACGTCATCCAATGTTATGCACCTACCAACGACTACAATGACGACGTTAAAGATCAATTCTACGAGAGGCTGCAGTTAATCGTAGACAGATGCTCATCAAAGGAATTGACGATCCTGATGAGAGACCAATATGTCAAGGTTGGCATGGACAATACTGGATATGAAGACATCATGAGATGACATGGACTGGGAGAAAGGGACAGCCCTTACTGACGGGGATGGGAATCCGTGAGGTAGGGTGAGGTGTGACATTTTTAGGGTCGACCTTTTCTAACCCTTCCTTCCTTGTTAGAAGGAAGCATCGCTGAAGATGCTGGTTGTCCAAAGAAAACACCTTGCTGTTTTCACACCCCTCTGGAGTCAGCAGTACGACTTCACCCTCAGACTTTGAGTATTTGCTTTTAGTCTCATCGTTCTCAAATCGACCTTCCTGGCATGGTAGAACCTTCAAAAACATATGTTCCAGCCAACATAGTTCGGTTTGGTCTTCGCGATTGGCAACCCTGACCACAAAGTCAAGGTAGCAGCAACTACGGTCGGGCCTCATTTAGAACCCTCAATGTAAAAGGAAAAGAGGAAGGCCAAAAAGCACATTACGCCGAGAAATAGAGGAAGACATGAGGAAAATGAACAAAAATTTGAAAGGGAAGCCGAGGACAGAGTTGGTCGAAGAAAACTGGTCGGCGGCCTATGCTCCTTCGCGGGTAACAGGCGTAAGTAAGCAACCGTTGAGTTCATTAGTATACTAATCGAAAAGAATCGAATGATTTATTTTAACATACGTGGTTTGTATACAAGCACACCCGACCACATCTCATCAAACATTGGAAAAAAAAGTGACAGAAGAACAGGCCAAAAGTGGCTGTGAATGGCGGAGACTACGAATAATAAACTAGCAACAAATTAAGAATAATAAGTCATAAGTAGGTAGTTAATGAGAGCTCAGGATACAGGGTATGTATATAAATCTAGTTACTTAGTGACTATAAAATAAGAATATATACAATAATACTCCATAAATTAATTCTGAGAGTTACCACCCCTTCCATTTTCGTTCCAATATAATACGTACATATAAAGCGTGGTTTATGTTTCTTCACAAATACATCTAGATTACATATAGCTTAAGTTTGTACAAAGCGATCGAGCAGTAAGGATAAACCCTAGGATAGATGAGGCTAAATTTTATAGACATTGATAAACGAAAAGTTCTTTACAAGACTCATTAATTTCCAATTAAATAACGAAACAACTAATGTAAACATGACAATAATTTAGATAAAATTAAAACTTAGGCGGGCATAAACATGATTCCATTCTGGTTTAAATCGAATATTCACACCCATCCCACCTATCAATGAGAATTGTTCATATCTCCAGTCCTATTCATAAATGTATTCCAGTATCCAATGGAATTAATAAAGTGAAAATGAAGCCATTGATTATTATTCTTATTATTGTGATAAGATGGATAAGAGGAATAATCTGAGTTATTTGCGTTATTGCTAATTGTGAGCGACAATAATCTATCAAGTAGAAGGTTTGAACAATTTTCGTTAGTTGATGGGATTGATGTGAATGTACATACATCATAATGTTGGTGTTCACGCTGAATAGGATAAAATGCGCGTTCTTAATTCCACTGCTAACAACAACCTATTTTTTCTACACAACTAGTGATAGAATGGCTGTATGAAAGTTACACAGGTTGTAAATATTTCACATAAAATCATATTTTTCCTATTGACGCAAATGATTCATAGGGAAATAAATAATTTTAACTGACAAAAAATGTGCACCTGAACTTATTGTGATGACGCTTAAATTAAACATTATTTTTCAAACGTTTATAATCGGTATATTGGAATTATTCTTTACAAATATACTGAACTGAAAGAGTATACGAAATATTAAGAAAAATGAGTGGTTTTTTATAATTCAGTATGGTTTTATGATTGTGAAGTCATCACCCAATGAAAATTAAACAATCGCTGCAATAAATTAACAAAAGCTGACCAGATAAACAAATGAATTGTTTAACGAATGGTTAATTTTAGTCAGCGTTCACTCTAATTAAGTCTTATCAGGTTAATCTTATCTTTGATTTGCTATAGTCAAGCTCCTGCACACCCCCTAAGTTTATTTACATCCATTTATTAAAATACGATGCAAGACAAATAATAGTCAGTCAGTTGCAACGTAGAACTTCGTACGTAAGTACATCAGTTCATGTCGCCATACCACATCAGCACAGAGATATAATTGTCAATTCAAATCCAATAGTAGAAGAGGTAGTAAAGGTATTAGAAGTAATCGGAGAGGTTAGAATTAGGAGATATTATTCATGAAGTATGATTCAATGAGATAAGTTTAGAAATTAAAAACTAGAGGTGTTGAAGAACACAGAAGATTAAGATTTGAGAGAACACAAAGAATAAATGCACCGGCGCCATTACGAACGATTTTGAGCTATGTCATTCAAGGTCTCTAGCCATCGATTATTATCATCTCGCGGACCCCAACCAGGTAGTCGACAATTAACGACATGGCTAAGTCCACTCGTCAATGACTTCATGGATTTATGCCATGTTTTGGTCTGGCCGCCCCTAGCTTTCTTCCAACCTATTCCTACACTACAAAACAAAGCTCGACGAGGGAGTCGCTGGTTAGGCATACGCAACACGTGTCCCAACCACCTCAACTGATGAAATTTCACCACTTCATCGATTGATCTGCCATTCTTACCTAGTACCCGTTTCCTAATAACAGCGTTGCTCACTCGGGTGTCCCACGATATAGGCTAAAATTGTTACAACAGACTCAAATTACGTGGTAAAAAGGAAAAGACTGGAAAAGGAAATCTATCCTAGTACAAAATCGAAATCCTAGATCTCTATCATAAAAATATAGTCAGTTGGTGTTTACGTATGTCACTATTTCCAAAATGTTGAGGACAATTTCCTACATTTTCATTACATACAACACAGTTACAGTGAATATTATCTATCTCATAAACGCTAAAACTGAAGACTCTACTGGATTTTGAAACGTTATCCTCAATTTTAATGAGGTCAAACATTTACATGGTTTATTTACTCACTTCATAAAACCCAGTTTGGTAACCACAAATAAACCAACTCAGTAATAATGGATGTAACTGTAATTCACTGATGTATTGTTGTATATTTGAAGCATCTAATAACCGACTTTGTTTCATGGACTCGGAGATATTCTCAACCGACAATTCATCAAGTCCAGATTTACACAAATTCCTAACTTTTGATTCTTGTTTTTTATTACGATAAATAAGTGGATTAAGTGAAGTTTTGTGCAAATGAGAAGAAATTTCGTTCAGCTCTTTAACGTCCGCATCTTGGACAGAGGATTTGTATGTTTCCCTGGGAATAAAAAATGTTTCAAAACAATAATACACAAGTTTTAAGCCTAAGTATTAACTACAGAATATTAAGAAACAGTAATATAACGTAAGACAAACAATATGCAGTCGCTTCAGATGATGAATCGTTACGATCGCAAAACAAGTAGAAAAGATAGCTAAAATTAACTAATTTATCAGGCCATAAAACTTCAAGTTTTAAACAACGATATTCCTATTAAGTTCATACCACGTACTAAGCTACCACTTCAAAGGCTATCAGACTACTTAGCTACAATTTAGGTGCCTTTACACAGTGATCGCATACTTTTGATCCTAAAGTAAATAAAGAGTAATTTGTTGAATCGTGATTTCTACCAGTCAGATTGTAGGAATATATTTCAGAGAAGATTGGTAACGAGTCCGATTGAAGTTCGCAAGGCGACAACGGGTTAATTTTAAATCAAAAACTTATGAACTTTAAGCAGTTAAACTAAAGTTCAAGTCGCATATCAGTGCCACAAGATCAACACTGAAGTATGTTACTCCGAAAAAAATCTAACTAGACTGTCAGACCGTATGGTAAGAAGCTAAGTCACAACATGATCTGGTAATAAATAGTTGAAAGAAATGAACGATAGATTCGGAATTTCTGTTTTCTACATTTGATTAAACAGTCTGGAAATCGTCCACTCTAACATTTCCTAGATATCTGAAGGAAAGTTATGCATTTATATTTTGAATACATAAATAGTTCACATACATATTCAACTTACACAAACAACTTAACATATCCACAATTACTGGTTGAAGTTAAATTCTGCTTATTTTTACAATTTAAATTTCAAGACTGATATATCTTCTGGGTCGATTGTAATACCTAATTTTGGACGATTTGTTGTCTGAGCTATTAGCTAAATTGTGGATCTTTCATTGTTCTGACAACGGCATGCACTTCAGTGAGAAGTGAGTTACCAGAACTTCTCCACAAGTAACTAATTGTGGGCAGCTATAGGCATGATTGCGATTGGGAAAACGTCAAAATACTGAGCAGGAGAAACAAAATTAAGGAATTAGAAGCATGGTACTCTGGCAACGTATCAATCAACCGACATCGAAATTGACATGACCTATTAATCAACATGAAAAAGGATAAACGATTGCTAGGACAGTGGGAAAACAGTCAATATAACTATGGAAACAACAGCCACACCTATGGAAAACAACGAAGAAAACTCTAGGTTGGCAAAACAAGCAGCTAGTCAATTGTGGAGAAGTATGTATTAATGATGTTATCAAATGACAATCAAAACTTCGTGTCTGAATGAAACAGCTCAAAAACAAAACTATCTCGAATGGGCTACAAATATCCTCTACCATATCACTTTGAACTATTATTCAGTGACAGACAAGGTATGCGAACAAATACACAAGAATGAGCATAAGGTAAATGTTACATTGACCTTAAGTTTCTTATGAAATTAACATAGAGTACTTTGACTGTTAATACTTGTTTTATAACTCTACTCTTATTCAAAGGAGAAAATGAAAATAAATCCAACAAATAGACAAAAGCAACACCTAGAGTCAAGTAGAATAGTGTCATGCTTCACAACCAACATAATGAGGACTTTAGAGACAAGGAAAAATAACAAAGCCATGGGAGATCAAATTAAAAACATGATTTGTAGTTGGAACTTCCTCTCTCACCACTAAAAAGACGTTGAAATCCCGCAAGAACTAAATATTCCTAAAAACAACTGTAATTTACTGTTTGACAAACGACATACTCCATAAGGGATGTAACTCAATCCCTTAACACTATGAAAACAGTCGGATTTAAGAAAAATCCTTCATTAGTGACACCTAACAGGACATTGTGATAATACTTAATCAACATAAGCAGTCAACTGTTTTGGTATATCGTTTTTCAATTAAAAGGGGCGAAATAGTGCATGCCTACAAACAACTGGTATCAACTCTTTACAAATCAGTATCATTGAGAATAAATGCAACAACAGCTAGTAATACAAGATATAATCTGAAAATCCAACTCAACAAATATAAATTAAAACTATCATAGGACTTTGCACACATTCTATCGATTAATTGTTTAACAGGGTTGTATTTGCTTTGCTTGCTTCTGCCTAGCTAGTCATCTTATACAAAACAGAGAATGAAAAAAACTGGCACCTCAAAAAGTAAGAGCTATTTTCAAATGATAATGAAAAGCGATAGTAATTTCTTATCCTAAATAATGATAAAAACACTCTACGATACTTACAACTGACCACTAAAATCTTCTTCTTCAAGTTTGCATTGACTAGCAACGATCTTTTCCTAAACAAGCAGACGAAGGGTTAACCAATGATAACAATACCTTCATTGAAAATGCGAATGACTTATTCATTATGTCTTTCACGTACACTTCAAATCCAGAATTGATGTCATAGAGATCTTTGGAGGATTTTTGTTCAACGTTATCATAAAAACAAAATGATACTGTGAAAATATCATTTTCATAATCAGCCGTTAATATTGTAGCATAGTAGTAGGCTGCATCTTCACTCCAAGAACAAATACACAGATCTCCATTGTTCCATGACTGAACAGGATTCTTCTGGCTTTCACTGTTCGAGTTGATTGTACTCTACAATTAATAAAGAATCATCCAATATTACTTTTAAAACAAACCGTAGAGGACGGAAGATTTATTAAACAGTTAAGTTTGATGGCGAAATAGGAGCAATCTATGGACTAAAGATTTAACATTTGAGCAGAATGTTCCTAAATACCTCTAGAGTAGACGTGATTTTTTCATTTTGATGTAATAATTCGACGTTCTCTGGAGCTAAGTTTAGCAAATCACTGGAATGGCATGAAGTTATGTAGTTGTGTGAACGAATAGTAAAAAGAGAGTTCTCCAAACTGAACTCCTCAATAACGAATAGATCATAAACTTTGTTCTCGCGTTGATAAATGCAAATATCTCCTGGAGACCACATCAGTTAGTCAAAATTATGAAATCTATGATGCTTTGATGCCATGAAGTCTCACTAAATAATGAAAAAACGGTTTATTATATTTAAAATGAATTGCTTTAAAACATGAAAACAATTCAGCAGTAAACTACATTCGTTTACCAAACGTTGAAACATATTATCAACGTAGGGTACGGAGTAATTTTCCCAAGCAATAGTTAACTGCAGTAGTTAACGCGATCTAGTGATGGTTGTAAAGACGACACGTTGCAATTAAAGTCATGTTTCGAAAGATCAAATAATTTGAGCAATAATATTATAAATGTTTTTTTAAACTTCGAATTTAAACTACTTGAATAAACAGTCAATATTGACTTCGGTAAGATGAATGTCAGCCCTGGGACCTCCTATAGTAGACAGATAAATATGGTGCCCATTGAGAAACTCCCTCATAGAACTCTGTATTATTTCAACTTATATGCTACTCTGCAGCTGAAAGTGACTTGGGTCTATTGAGTCGGCTTTTGGAACCAGAGACTAACTTAATCTATCCCGCCCCTTATCTCTGTTTCCTCTCCTTTACTTACACTTCGGTCCTCTCGCACAATCTTCAGTAACAATTATTAAACTAAATTATCCATCATTTACTTAGTGCTGAAACCTTGCTCTTATTAGGATTAGGATTTTCTATTTATTATTCTCTATATTGCAACTAACTGAACTCCGGTTTGGTTATGTGATAGCTGCTAGATATCCGAAAACCCTACTGCCCTGAAATAAACATATTCATTCAAATCACGGGACATACAAGCTCACAACCAACTGACTAGAATTAGACAGCCGAGTAGCTAGACCCCCACTCATTGGACACTATCAAACACCTGGGACCGTACCGAAAACACAAGAATCGAACGCAAAGAAATCATTTGGTTGATACTAGATAGTGGAAAAAGTTTTGGATATTGGATACATTGGATACGAACCCGGCTCCAAATCAATTTAGTGTAACGTACACTTTGAATAGATGACTACTCTAAAATAATAATCAGTTGCCAATGGAAGTTGAACAAAAAATTATTCTTATGAGTAAGGCTAATATCGTTTGAGAATGCAATGAAATATTCATTATAGATCAAACTGCTTGGTGTTTGTCATCTTACTGTTGTGTGATATCGATAGAAAACTGCTGCGGATCGCCTGTGTAAATTAAAAAGATGAAACCGCTCATTAAACCTTGAAGGACCTCGTTCGAACATTCTATATTATGTGAGGTCTGAGTCACCATAAAATCAAACTGCCAACACTATAAATATGGCACAAACCATTCCAGTAATGGTGACCGAACACTTCTCTTCTTCAGCTCGTCTAAAAATCATTATTGACTTAATAAAAGGCTATCAAAAAGTGGGAACCTATCATATCTACCTCGCTATCATGGTAAAATATACTGGCTTAAATATCCATTGTGATTAGCAAATTTATGATACAGTGTTGACCCTTTGGAAAACAATGTTATTGGAGAGTAACCACGTCTGCTGGTGTAAGTTAGTTTCGTCGACTATTACGAACTAAGAAATCTGTAACTTTAGATAATACTGGAAAAGAGTTACTGGTCGTTAGTCTGTAGGGTTATTGCATTCGAACCTCGGGTACGTAGCCCACTTTCTCCTTCCCCAGGACTTAGACTAACGTAAGTGAAAGCGATACATGAACATAAGTTAACAGTATCGAGTAAGCCTTCATAAAAATGAAGGGATTAACCGTCTCTGGACATCTGTACAAAGGTTCTTACTTTGCTTAAGTTTTTATTATGTCCGATTATTGCTAGCTCATTCACATTCCCTCCAACACTAAGTTTTCAGTTCAAGTACGGTTACGGTGAAGTTGCACAGCATTATAAGCTGTTTAAAGATTTCAAGAAACGTTTATGAAACAGATTAGTAGCATATAAGATTAAATTCGTCAACAAACCACCGTGAACAAATATCTATTTCTGGACTACCCAACTTACTTTTTCATAACTCAATTGGGATAACATCGTAGTTAAGCGTTGCAAATAAATGCGTAAGGTCCGACGAACGTTTAATTCAACTCTAGGAATAAATTTCAGGAATACGACCACACCATTACTTTGCCTGGTCACTGATCAGAAAATTTCGGTTTGTAGGGACGAAATCTAAGCTCATCTGAAATTTCTGGAAAGGCGCTTCTGAACAAATCTAGCGATCGAAGTCTGAGAGATTTACCTTATGTAGTGTCATTACCTGAACAGTTTATATTTAGCGGAGACAGGGGAGTTTTCAGTCTTCTAAAATTGAGATAACTGTTCTGGTACAAAACAACTACCTAATTGTCCTAAATCTTGGTCGTCGTAGAGGATCTTGGTGATGGACTGATGATGATGTCCATGCTGGGATCACAGAATTCCAGACAGAAATAATTTCGGAACTAACGGCAATACCACCTGATTTTTCCGTAGCCTGGAAAAATACCGAAAGTATTGGTCCAGCCCTCTACTTACTTACGTACTTTCTCCTGTTACCCACAGTGGGACATAGACCGCCAACCAGTATTCTTCAATCGTCCCTGTCCTAGGCCTTCTTTTCCAGTTCCGCCTAATTGCTGTTCATTCCTTTTACATCCGCTCACAGTTCTCATAGAATACGGTATTTTGATCTTCCCCTTCTCCTTCGTATTAAGAAATCCCAATGAAATCTTGTTTTGTTTTCGAGTTGTATCACTGAGATAGTCCAGCAGACATGTATTGCATGGCCTGGACCTCAGAAACCCAGGGTTGGAGGTCAAGATGGGATTGTTATGAATTAGGTATTTCACTACCGCTGCCTTTAAAGCTTTCTCCATCACCCTGAATGTTACTGAGGTTCTGTTTATGAGTCGGTGATTTTAAACATTTGCAATAGGCACTGACTTAGTTTAATCAATCATGTGTAATCTTCTAGGTATCAGGGTAACACACTGTAGACAGTGATATAATAATTAACACACAGATCATTGCTGCCATTTTTCAGCATACAAGTTGGGATACCATCTGGTTCTACAATGTAAGGGTTTTTCAGTGCGCTAATCACCTTAGAAATATTTTGTACATTATCGTCTTGACCAGTGATTTAACAGGAAAGTATTAGAGTCGGTTGTGATTTATTCAGTGGATTTCCGTTCGTTAATGGTGCACCAAAGTAAGTGTTCGCAAAATGTCTCTGTCATATGTTCAGGGTCTTCTTACACCTGGTTGCCCTCAAAAAATGCCCCCTCCCTTCACCTTAGAGCATTTAAGTTTACTGAGAAGGATTTTGATGAGTGAAGACGATTCTTTATTCAGTTTGACAGCACGTTTTTCTTATGTACTCCTTCGGCTTCGACAAACTAAGGAGGAGTTCTGAGGTTGACGGAATCGAGTGGCAATTCTTCAAAGACATTTTCATATATGCAGTAGCGCAAGTAAACATCCAGAAATCCCTAATCTCTAGTGTCTCAAGGGCGCGATTTTTTTTCGAAGATATTACTATTGTCATGATAAAACATGCTTGTTAGCACGTCTGTAGTGTTTTCGGAAAAGAAGGCAGTTCAGTCAATGCTGTTGAGATTGTTTTGAAAGTTTTCTCAATCAACCTTACGAAGTGTGTTGGTTTTGCGCTTTGTGTTTTTCATATTAAAACTCCACATGACGATATTATGATGGCTACATGGGAACGTCTTTCCAATATATACAGTATTGGGAAAGCGGTTAACGGTGATAACTAAATCCAAAATATGGTGGTATCTGATATGGCCGTTACCATATTAAATCCACTCTTCAATAATACTGATATATTCATGCTCAAGTAACGGCATGTTACAAGACTCTTGTCAGTTTACAGGCTAGATCAAATTGTTACAAATGCTACCACATTTACCGTAGAGGTTAGCAAAGTGATATTAGAAATAAGGGTCTGTATCCGATAGCACATTTACACCATCTCACTGGCAGGAACTGTTTGATACAGCCACATTTTCGGCAAGTGAGTGCTAATGGGGAAGGTACACAGTAGAGTCCTTGGCTAATTTTCACAACTCAGAAGTGAATTCGTTGTGAAGCGTCAATTATAAAGCGCCTGATACAAGCTGCAACATAGACGTGCGCGTGCGGAATGTGTATTTGGCGTGTAAGCACCGTGGATTAACAACTGCGAAAAGGGTTCTGAGAAATGACAAAACAGAGAGAGGAAGGGAAAGAAAAAACAGCTACGAAGCAACAATATATATATATATATATAATCAGATCACCGTTTAACCGGTCATGGTGAAGTAGACAATGCAACGGTAAGCTAAGATAAAACTCATAATGATCACTAAAATTTAAATAAATCGTAGTAATATAGCCCACGAATTAAGTAGTAAAGCAATGAGAAAGGAAGGGTTGTGGAGTGTGTCAAGGGGATAGAAGATGTCCGTATATTGAAGCTCAAAGTTCAGTAAGAATAGTAAACTTGGTAAAAAAACATTGACAGTTATATTTTTCACTTTCTAACTCTTTTTCATCGAATTCCAACCTCTAAGTCATACTGTCAGTTCGTGAGTAAGCATGTCGAGGATTGTCTTGGTAGATTAGCGACCTCACCATATTTTTAGGAACAGGAGTCTCAGAGGCAGAAAGCTTATAGGAGCAACTATAATATCACTGATTAGCCACCTCACCAATCAAAAACAGACAAAGGCAAACAAAGGTAGATTCATGTCATCGCCCACACCAATGTTTTCTTGTCTTTAACTTCACCCTGCCTCCTTCCGTGTCGTTAGGCTCATGCAAAATGAATGTAAGATAAGATTTTATGCTCTATTTAAGGCTCCATGGTTCACATTCTGCTGAGAACCACTATTTCTACAAGTTCTTTTCACAAGCTTGTCTGTCTATTACAGCTTATGAACTATTGTTTAGGCATCAATACAATGCAGTTAACAGTTATGGAGAGAGGAAAGCACGGGTTTTGAATCAAAAAATAAGAATGGGCGCAGCAGCCATACTT